AACACCTCTGTAAGTAGAACCTGACAAGTGGAATGGGTTTTTAAAGTACTACAGCCTATGACTCTATGCTAATGAACCTTTGTAAGTGGAACACCTTGAAAGTGGAATATTCCGGACATTTTCTTTTGTCAATATATTCTTATAAAAATCAGAGACATTGTAAAACATCAGCAATCTATTGTTAAAACTCACTTATCTTCTAATACAATATAATAAAAATATGTTCCAGAAATCAGACAAGTATCCATCATCAATCTATTTCACAACTCAGGTGCAATTTCTGCAATATCAGAAAGAGAAGTTTTTCAAAAAGAAAGAGTAGTTTTTCACAATATGTTAAAATAATGATTTGAAATCTCAATCTTATTGCACAATACAATGGATATAATTTAATGGATATAAGCATTAATTCAGATGAATGCCAGTTTTGTTGACAGATGGACAGACAGATGAACAGACAGCTGGACAGACGAAAGAGATAGTGATTCTATGGGCTTACATATGAAAAGCTGATTCCTCCAAAAATGAGGAAAATTAAATAGAAGTTTAATCAATAAAAGTACATCACAAAAATTCTCAAACGCACGACTTTAACTTATCCACTACTTATTAATTGTCTAGTAACATCCAAGAAAACTATACATTTTCTAGTAATTCAAACATTTTACGAGCTCATTATCAGTGAAATGAAAGACATAGAGACAGCTAAATTGTCATTATTATTTTCTACTAAGGGATGTTTTTCAGCTAAATTATCATCATTATCTTGCGGTTTGGGTGAAACAAGGGGAGAATATCATCACTTATGGTAAAGTATCATTTTCATCAAAATAACTATAAGGTTATACAGCCACTCAAAACTGTTATTTAGTCCAAGGGCAACCCCAGGATTTTTTCGAGAGGATTGTGTCCACATGTAAAAAAGAAAAAAACTAGCTTGCACTTGAATCCTAGATTTCCACCTCTTTGCCAGAGCACATAGTTCTTTCATTCGAGTCTCCTTTTCCTCAACACCATAAACAAATTCCCGGAGAATGTTAAAATCATTTTGTGACTTTAATGTTATTTAATGTAGATAAGGAATTCATTTTGTACTTCTGAAACTGAAAAAGAATAAGATGATGATGCTGCCCCAGTGGGTCAAAATCATTGAAGAATGCACTCTGTAGGAATATTTCTTCAAATAAACTGTTTTTTGAATATAACTTATCTCAACTATATTCAACAGAAATGATAATTTGTGTTATAAATCAACTTAGAAACGGTCCCTTATTGATGAACATATTAAGTACAATGGTATTCATTAAAATGTTATCTCATAAATTGCAGTAAAGCCTATTGTTATCTGACATGAATATTTCTTTATAAATGGGCAAGGTAACTTCAGAATGTATATAATTATCATGAAATAATTCATCAACTGTTATTGTGACATTACCTGAAAGATGGGTCTTCTGTATCTGTAAATACTGGCATGTACCTCTAAATATTAACATTTATTTGAAAATACAGTGCCTCTAAATATTGGCATTCAGCTGTAGATATTTACCACACCTAACAGTGTTCTCAGATCTACAAGATACGATTCAGAAACAGTAATAGAGAAATTCTAGATCTAATCATAGAAACCTTATAAAGAAGATGTCAACCTGAACTAAGCCACATGATAAAGCTTGTTGTTGTTTGTAATTATCTTTATTTTGAATGAATTGTAGGATATTAATATAGTGTAACATATTGATTCTTGTAGTCATTTATTCTATTTTTGTTACATTAAGCAAAGATTATGGTTTCTACAAAAATGGCGGCCATTTTGAAATTAAGTGGCCTTCTTGAAAATGTTTCCTTGAGCAGAGCTCCTTTCTGTCTATACATCAGCATATAAAATTTTAACCAAATCTGTGAACTGGTATTTGAGTTATCAAAGATTACGTTTTTTAGGAAAAATGGTGGCCATTTTGAAATTCAGCTGCCATCTTGAATATTCCTTCTGATCAGAACTCTTATGTCCCAAGGCATCATCATATAAAATTTGAACAAAGTCTGTCTACTAGTATTTGAGTTATCAAAGATTACATTTTTTACGAAAAATAGCAGCCATTTTAAAATACAGCAGCCATCTTGAAAATGTCTTCTTGAGAAGAGCTCCTTTGTCCCTAGGCATCGGCATATAAAATTTGAAAGAAATTCGTCGTCTGGTATTTGAGTTATTAAAGATTACGTTCTTTTACGAAAAATGGTAGCCATTTTGAAATCCAGCTGCCATCTTGAAAATGTCTTACTGAGCAAAGCTCCTGTGTACCTAGGCATCAGTATATAAAGTTTGAACGTAATCTGTCTATTTGTATTTGAGTTATCAAAGATTATGCTTTTTTACAAAATTGGTAGCCATTTTGAAAAATAAAAGCCATTTTGAAAATGTCTTCTTGAGCAAAGCTCCTTTGTCCCTAGGCATCAGCATATAAAATTTGAAAGATAAAATACGAAAAATGGCTGCCCAGAAGTTATTCGGCCCTAGAACTTGATATCCTTTATCATGTGTTCAAATTTGGAGACAATCCGACACGCGGTTTTCCTGAAATGGCGATAACAAGAATTTCCGAAAAACCTTTAAAATGGCCACCAGAAAACAAGATGGCCACCCAAAAGTTAATCAGCTCTAGAACTTGATATCCTCTATCATGTGTGCAAATTTGAAAAAAATCCGATGGGCGGTTTTCCTGAAATGGTGATGACAACATTTATCCAAAAACTTTCAAAATGGCCACCAGAAAACAAGATGGCCACTCAAAAGTTAATCAGCTCTAGAACTTGATATCCTCTATCAAGTGTGCAAATTTGCAGAAAATCTGATGAGCTGGCCACCAGAAAACTAATTTGGAGAAAATCTGATGAGTGGTTTTCCTGAAATGAAGATGACAAAAAAAGCAGGACGATCAGGATAACGATCACGATCATGATCACGACGGCTATATCCCACCGATGGTGTGATAAAAAATGGCACCATTTTGAAAAACAGCAGCCATCTTGAAAAGGTCTTCTTGAGAAAAGCTCCTTTGTTCTTAGGCATCAGCATATAAAATTTTAACCAAATCCGTCAACTCATATTTGAGTTATCAAAGATTACATTTTTTACGAAAAATGGCAGCCATTTTGAATTGAGTGGCCATATTCCCGAGCAGAGGTTCTACCACAATAAGGCATAAGCCTATAAAATTTGAATCAATTTCGCCAACCGGTATTTGAGTTATCGCCTGGACGAATGGACTGACGGACGGCTTTCCTATTCCCCTCGGTCTTCGTTTGGTGAGATAATGGCGCAATCATTTTGTAGCAATAAAGTAGAAACAAGGCATTAACATGCAAAATGTCACCACCTGCCAATTGGTCAGACGACAACTGCCAAATAATTGTTGTAGTGACATAAAAATTATTTATAAAACACCATGGGTTAATACTTAAATCACGCAGTCTTGATTCATATTTTGTAAGTCTTGGTTTCTGACATCTTATTATATCAAGATTATTGATGTGAACCATGGTTCAAAGGTATTATTTTACAATAAACTTTAATTTTTAATGGTAAGTTGTATCACTTGTCTCCTGGGTATTTACCAGAACTTGTTCTTAGTCATGTTTCACCATGACAACAAAAACACACACCTAAGGAAACATCGTCCGATTCTGTAAATCAATAAATTCTGTATGATTAAAAAACAATGGTGAAATTTAATTATGACGAACGAGTGTAGTATCACTTATAATATGATCCCTGTCTGTATATCAATTCAATGTAACTCATTCGGGAAAGATCCAAGTACAAAAACAAACATTGGAAAGGTTAAAATATACAATAATTCATAGAAGATAATATAAATAATTCAAACATATTAATGTTATTTACATTTATGCCAGGGTATGCATAACAGTTTTTATAGTAATATTATTGAAAAGTGTCAGTTTGATCCTGTAACTAAGGATGGAAGGAATTATGATCGATGCAGATTGTGGCTAAGTATGTCTCCAGGGTCAGGGTTCCGAGGCCTTTTTTTGTAGAGGGGATCAGCTCTCGTTTAGTCCCTAGTTGTTGATATGTAGCTTTATTGACTATATAAATCAAACAACCCCAAGAATCTACTTTTATTCGTTTTTGTGTTGATTTGTCTCTGTGGTTATGAGATTCCAAATGGTTTTATTGGAAGGCCTAGATATTTAAGAATCAAGGTAAAAATAATCAATATGGAAATTACATTTCATTATTGACAGTTGCATTTAAAACTATGAAAACCTTTTAAATTCTACCTATGGGAACCAAGTATCAAAGCATTGTCTATCAAAAAGAGGCCGGGTTCTTATAGTTAGAAACCTCTAGAAATGAAGCAGCTTTTAGTGCCTCTTTGTGAATTTATTGGTATTCTTAGGTAATATTCCGTTATAATTCTGACAAAGACCATAAAGATGATATCTTCAATGCCATATCCTCCCGACTAAATGTATCCCTGATATTACCATGGTAACCATGAACAAAATCCCCACCAAACAAACACCATGACATCAAAAATGTTATTGCCATACCTTATGAACATTATTCAACCACGATCAAGTTACTTCATATTTTAGCTAGCAATTTCCTGATATTGGCTTCATCAGCGCATGGACGCATAGAACGCTCTCTTGCTTAATAAACTGTGTAATCAAAGCAAAAGTGTAAATATGAATAAATTCTAGTTGCCGCAGAAGAGTGGGAACACGCTACTACAGTCTGGTACTCTATATCCTTGAGATAGTAATTTGATTCTGTGACACGAATTTGCATGTAAATATAAATTGCTGTATGATATTTGTTTCTTTTTCAGAATTATTAAAGTAGAACGCGTATGCTGCAACAGCATAAGATTTCGTCAACTACTTACAAAAGAGGGAAGAGATACAATATGGCCACATTTCAATACTGTAAATTACAATAACCCTAAAAACTGATGTGAAGTTAGGAAAATATATTTGACTTAAAACTTACACAAGAAATCAATCAAAAATGGATAAAAACAAGTATATCTAAACTGGGTTCTTAAACGCATCTAAAAGTTTTGAACTGAGCTGAAGCCTATGACAACACAATGCTATGCCCTGCAGCATGTTTCTGCCCAATAGAGGGCACTGAAGTCATCACTAACTGCAGTAATAAGGGCCTGGCTACAGTACCAACCATGATTGACACAAATACAACAATTCTGTAAGTATAGTTAAACACCATTGTGGGATACAGTCTCTGTTCCTTGGAATAGAGAGCTTTAGATAAAGAGAAAATCAGAATAGAAAAACATATCTCTAAGAAGAGCATACACACTGCTGTAATCAGGAAGACTTTTATCCTGGCTTTTTAATGTTTTAATTTACAAATACTGAAGAGCTCATTCAAATAAAATATAACAACTTAGCTTCCAATTATATAAAGTGTATTTTCCACTAATTGAAATGTATTGTTTTTTTAATTTAGAGCCCAAGGTGATTAAATTGTACAGAGATTGAAATATATATTATTTAGAATTGAAATGTAAATATTACGGATCGAATTTGTCTGTTCAAGGTAAAGCAAAAATGGTTAAGTGTAAAATGTAAAAATAAGTATAATTTTAATTAATTATGATAAAATGAGAGTATTCAATGTATAAAACAATGATATACTTAAATAACATGAATGACTTTGCAAAAGAGATATGGCATTTTCCATTGAAGTAGGCTCTTATACCAAATCAATAGATCATTTAATTTTTAGTTCAAACACTCAAGTATATCAGAAAATCACTATACAATATTTCATCAATCTCTTTTTTGAAAATAATATATTAGATATTCTTAATCTGACGGCAGTATCACATATGATAGAAAGTAATTACACTTTGTAAACAATATACATTTTGAGCATGACTTATTGAGGTTTAAAAGCTATTACACTTTGACAAATAGCTTGCTTTGGTACATGCATTATTCAGACCTAATTCATCTGCACTCAAAATAAATAACAAACCAGAATTGAATAATGAATGTTTCACAATAATGAAGATCTACCTTTGATCAGATAAAAATGATGCCATGAGATTGTAATTTTTTATTATCGTAAGCCGTGACTTTATTAGTTTCTCCGCAAATCTTATGAACTAAATTATAGTATCTCAAAAGAAGATTACAATCTAAAATTTCAATAGAGCATGGCTCGTATCTAATAATCTGCTCACAGCATGTATATTTACAATTTTATTAATCAATGGGAGTCATGATTCAGCTCATATTCATTTGACACAATAGGAAAAAAAAGTTTATTCTACGTACTAAGATTCAATGAGGCAGCTACAAATAGAATTTTTGTTTAGTGCTTCCTTCATGGTTATTCTTAACCTCATTGGTAAAACATTCCATCCATTTTTTCAGAAACGCTTTCACGGATGTTGACCCTTTGAATTGCCTATGGACTTCGAGACTGGATTTTATCTATCCCACATCATTTGAGACTGAATACTCTATCTTTTATGAGTACTAGTATCTACAACTATTTTTGATGTTATGAGTATTCTCTATCAATTTTTTCAATTTTTCTTCAACATGTATTGTAATGACTTCAGTATGAATGAAATGTCCCTTGGTGTTCTGGTCCTGGATTGTGATATTGGTTCTCGATTGGAGGAGGGAGGGGGATGTTAGACATTGTTTCTTTTCATGTTAGATCATGGTTTTGGGATATATAGGGTCTACTTTTCTTATGACAGATTTACACTTACAGTTTGCTTTTCTTGTTGGGTTTCTTTAAAGTTTTTAGTCACCCTTCCCTTTGGCATTTGTGCTTATATATTCTATTTTTAACAATTTCTGCATTTTTGGAATCAAAACATCAAATTAAAACTCTAGCCACATGGTTCGAATTTTACAAAATATTTCCCATTAACTGACAAGTAAAGCCCATATAGAATATTAGCTATTCCACAGTTAATGAAATATGTTGATTTTACGATAATGGAAAATCTGATTCAATGCTTAATGCACCATTAGTTATGAGATAATTGGACTGCTACTCTTCAGAGCATGCCCAAAGAGAGGTTACATAAACTTTAATACCACGTATGATGTAAAATCAATGAAACAATAGATATTCTGAATTCAAATAAGCAATCACGCTAACAACAACTTCCTTGTGTAATAAACTAGGTTCTATTATTAACGACTATTAATAAAACTGAATGACTGATTCTAATCACAAAAGAAATATGATATTTCATGACCAGGAGAAATATGATATTTCATGACCAGGAGAATGTGCTTAAAATACAAATCCCTGATTGAAAAGTGAAGATAAAGTGACAATAATATGACAATGTGATACCTTTATCATATACATTCCAATTAATGAATGACTCTATCACAAGTATATGGGAATATGTCCCAGAAAATAGCAATACTATTAATGGTAGATAAAAGAAATTCTTTGTTTGACACCAATGCAAATTTTGAATGGATAAATATCCATGATTGTTTTTTCAATTTTTTAGAGTTCTAAGTAAAAATCAACATTCTAAAATTGGTTAAATGTTTACATAATTCTCATTTTGAAGTGAATAATTTGATATAAAAGAAACAATTTAGTCCTTTCTAGCTTATAAGAATCCCTTTTTATCTTAAGTTTTTTTAAACTCTTCCTTGAAATAGTAGAGGCTATAACCCACTATGAGTTCAGTGTCATTTAATCAAAACTATGGAGAGAAATTAAATATGAAAAAATTGATAACATTTCTATGTTTTGCAGTGATTTGAGTGGGAATAATTTGGAGACATTGGGTACATCCTTAGATGACATCACAAGTCTAGTATCCCTGGATGTACGCAGAAATCCACTATTAAACAACCTGCCGAATATTTACCATCTGAACAACCTCAACGCCATCTATACTGACTATGGTGCCTCCTGCTGTATTTTAGAAATGACAATAAAAGCATTAAAAGGCGAGTATGATATGTGTGATATAGAGGTTATCAGACGCCCATTTGGAAATAATTCTATTCTTGATGAGTCAGGTTATAGTACTTCTTGTTACATATAACCAGTTTGTCAAGTCTGGCCAAATAACTTGGCAAAATGTCCAAGAAGTTGTATTTTTCTCCATGGCTTGCAAGTACCTACCTTTATTGTATCAGTCATAAAAAGTAAAGAAATAAAACACGAGACAATAGGATATAAAGGTCAGATGTATCTTACCGCAATAAAACCTAGACCCATAAAGTCATTTAACTAATTCGCTACAATTTTAATAAAGCTGATAAATCCTCATACAACTTCAGCTGAATGTCTTCTTATTCTAGAATTGTTAGATGTAGAATGAGTTCATAGACATAAATAACTACTTCATTCTACAGATCTACTCTTTACTCTCAGAAATCATCTCTAAATTACATATAATGATACAATAAAACGTGAATGCTTAAAGAATGCTGCGGTAAAAATGACCCATTCATTCTTAGACTATTGATTCTAACAGGAAAGATCATTTTTCACCTTACCTAAGGTAAACTAGACTTTCCAAGAAAAAGGTGAAGCTAATGTTGAGGTAAAAGTACAATTCTGTGTGGCAAACATGTTGTTATGATGCCATGTGAACGTAAAGGTTAAAAACAGTTCAAGTTGTCCTTTTTCATATTGAAAAACTATTCTTGTAATACTACTCTAACCCTTAATATTTGAATCGCACTAAATAATAGAAGAATCAACATTGTCTCAAGTGTAATTCTTTATCTCCCATTGTAATGAATATAGCATATTCAATTCAAAGAAAAAAAAGATATTAACATGCAGAATGTCACCATCTGCCATTTGTTGGACACCCAACGCTAAACCTAAACAACAACTGCCAAACATCATCTACAAAAAGGCTGAAGACCATAACAATATGGGCAGAGAAATTCAATGAACACTTATTTTTCAAATGACATCCAAAATCATTTTCAATCTCATTTTCATACATATTCTTACAGGTATAAATGGGCAACAATGGGCCAAAGAGATCTGTAAAGCCACTGATCCTTATAGTAAAGGGGAGTGCAGGGAACACCTGTTAGATGTTGGCACCATTGGTCTGTATGGTTTAGTGATCATCATTTCCATCATTCTAAACACTTGGGTAAGTGAGCTGAGACATGCCAACATATATGTCTTCTTATCAAATAATTAAATATTAAAATATATGTTGATACTGATAATCTTCTACAAAACAGACTTAAAGATTATAAGGAATAAAGATTTGGCATATAAAAAACATTGATTGAAGAGCCTTTTGAAAGTTGTTTTCTAAATAGAGTGAGTTCCATCACAGATGAGTATCCTAGACTGTGATAATAAAACTTGAATGCTGGGGGACATTGTTTCTTTTCACATTGGATTATGATTTGGAATAGTTGGGGTTTGTTTCCTTATGACTGGTGTAGACTTAAATGTTTGCTTTTGCTTGCTGGGTTCCGTAACAATTTCAGTGCTTTCCCAGTGGCCCTTGTGCACACATATCTATGTTTTGTATATTTTACCTGCAGGTTGCATTTGTGATCTATGGTATCAGAGAGAGGAGGGCAGACCCTGCCACATTCATCCTGGGCCAGTTCCCATTCTCCAACCTACTGATGACCATCTATGCCACCACTATGTTCATCCACAGTATCATGTACTATGGCAATTATCACCACCACATAGACCACTGGCTCAACAACAGCCTTTGTACATTCATAGGCTACTTATTTATCACATCAAACTTAATGTCGACGTTTGTGTACTTTTTGATCATACTGGACATGTTTTTGAAGATTGCCTTCCCGTTATATGAGCACCGGCACCTGACTGGGAAGAACTTGTACATAGCTGTAGGAATGTCTTGGGTCTTGGCACTAGGTATAGCTAGTATGCCACTCATGGGACTGGCTGAGTACAATGCCATCAGTATGTGCATCCCTATATATGCAGGCCGTCAACTAGGGATCAAAGACAACGACTACGTAGCATTCCATGTGGCTGTGATATGCACAGCATTTGTATTAATAGTACTTCTGCTTGTTTTGATGCTACGTTCTGTTAAACGTAGCCAGACATCTCAGACGATCTCATCGGAGAATCAGAAACTGAGCCGTAATGTTACATACCTTATAACAGGGTATATCATCCTCTGGTGTACGATTATAACATGTATGATTATGAGTGTTATCGGAGGAGGGACTGGTTACACAGGGAGGGTGGCATTCTCCAGGGTCTGTGTTTTCGATACATTTACTAATGTGTTCCTGTATATTGCAACCAAGAAACAGTTTAAAGTGGACAGTAAAAAGTTATGCAATCAGTTGAGTCAGATATGTGGCTACAGATCACGCAAGGTTGCCCCTGGACATAATATGACTATCATTACAATAACGGCATCTACTCCACAGCATCACAACCCTACTGCGGGTACTAATAAAAATGCAAATTCATGAGGACTTTACCCTTTCGTGTCTCTGATCAGAGTTCTATTAAAAAGAAACATTTGGGTGTTTTGTAAAGGTGACACAGACCTATTTCAATATGGTGGACAATAAAGTAACATTTTCATTTCATCAAGTGGAGTAATGCTTGTAGGATAATTTTGACTCCAGTTTTTTGAAGGCAAAATTAAAATAGGTCATAAGAGATTTGACAATTTGAGCAAATCATGGCTTCTACTCCATTGAAAGAGTTCACCTTATTAAAATGGTACAACATTACATTTTTACCCCAGAACCTGAAAGACGTGGCTAGACACTGTAAAGTCAACATGGTATATCAATAAACTATTATACAGTATTACAGAAAGCAGTTAAAATTGACTTTTTGGTTGATGATATCCATATTCTGAGATTTATAACATATTCCCTTTTATATTCAAGAGTGTAAAGTGGATTAATGGAATAATTTTTCTCTGATCAGGTATTAACCTTAAGTAAAACCAACCATGTTTACTATAATAAGTAATAATTACCTTCATAATGTGGGTGGTACCATAGAAACTGAACAACAAAGATAGAAATAATAGTACTTCAGCGACCATCAACTTACGCTGTATACATATTTGTGTAAAACGGATGTCCGTTAACCGCTATCGAACAAAATTAGCCCTAATCTATATCTTTATATATACCTCGATATGCTTCAATTACATAATGATTTTCAGAGATGAGAGAGTATATACATTAAAAGCCACTATGGGAATGAAAGAAAAACAATGGTTATAGGGCACTATTAGTAGCCACAATATTACAATACAACACTGACCTATGAGGATTTTATAAGATAAATATCTGCCAGTCTATGGTTGGAGACATACATGTAATGTGCTGATGGTGGAAACATTGATTCATATTCTTTGTCTCCGTGGACAAACAGTAACTTCCAGTCAGGTACATTAGCAGTTTCTTACAACACTCACTTAGACTAAGAAATCAATAAAATGGAAAAAATAATTAACTCTTATGAATTGGGATATCAAATGTCCAATTTTCTTCCTAAAATTAAAATGGAAATAAAATATTTATCAAGTATAGAGATTTTGTTTTGTTGACATTATGCGTTCTTTGCTTCTTGTTGTAAACTTTAATTTGTTAATTAATATGATGAATTTAATGAAGCAAACATGGAGTAAAAGGTGTTTCTAAAAGCACATAAAGTGCAGAATAATTTTATCATATTCTATATGAAATGAAAATGAATAAGAACAAACAGCTAGGGAAACCTAGCACAGTAGTGCCATCTTTTTTTCTATATTGTAGAAAAAAAAATCATGTCATCAAATTCATTGAAAAAGAAGTCAACTTCAGAAAAGCACTCAACTGTCGTCCAAGCAACTCATAGTATTCAACTTACAGAGAAATTCAACAAAGTATTTGAATTACAGAAATGATTGGATAACATACAAGTTTTGTATGTTAAAATACTGTCATTAAATTACTGTTTCATATGTAATTTGAAATCTCATGCTTACCTTGTGGATATAGGAAAGGGTCTCTCTTCTTCATGGCTCGACTTGTCCACCAAATAATTATTCCTGAGACAAGGTCTACCCCACTGTCAATGACACTAGATATGATAGCAAGAGAACCCGACAAACCAGCAGCAATTGCTTTTCCAATAAACAATGTCTGAAAATAGAAATGTATTGAAATTGTTAAATGTATGTTAACATTTCTAGGACCAAAAATCAACAAAAATGCAGTTTTATGATATTCCAAGCATGAACAAACCAAACCAGTTATAGATTTACATTTGAAGAAAATCACTGAAAATTTCCAATCAATCCATCAAGCAGTTTGGGCAGACATAAAAAGCCAACATTTGTGTGCTAAAAAGATGAGAAAATTGTACCTTTTTGAGGTACTGTACAATAAAAAAATGAATGCTCATAAAAGACAATAAGTAAATACAAAATATAGCAACATAACATACATATATTTTCAATTGGTTGTGATTATAATGACACAATTAGTTCTACATATACATGGACATGATACTTTAAAATAGATTTATGTTGATGAATACTCTGAAGTGGTTAATGTAAGCTTACTCTTCACTTTTTATCAATTTAAATTTATGATACACCATTCATTATTCAAATGTCTATGAGCAAAAACACTGAACATATTAATTTAAAATCTATAACAGTATGAAGCTATTAGGATTTATTGGAATATTCTTGCTGCTGACTGTTGATTTTTCAGTCATGCACAGCCAGCACAATGATACACGTAAGTCTTTTGAAGTATAGAGAATGAAATATTATTTCAATGTTCATAGTGAGAGGTCACAGCCTAGAATCTATCAATTCCTTTCTAGTAACCGTATATACTTTGAGAGGTATAAATGGTCTGGAAGGAAAAGGTCAATGATTAAGCCGTAGTAAAATTGAGTTGTTAAAATTGAAGATGGTAAAACCTCATATTTATTTCAGCTGACACTTGCATCCCAGATCAGAGCTTCCATTTAATTAGAAATGAATATGATGGAAAACGAAGTGACTGCCAACCAGTAGATATAAGTCATAATATAGGCTTGGAAGAATGCAAACATAGAGCATGTCTGAGTGGTGGCAATGTTATCAACTGGGGCAGGCATATCTTTCCTGGAAGGCATTACTGTGAAGTTAGGCAATGCTGTAAAAGAGATGATGAGGAGGACTGGGATTTTAAGATGGTAGATGATACGCTTGGATTTAATGTCTACACCATTCCATGTGAGTTACAAGTGTTACTTATAAATAATCTCAAAACATATAAATTCAAAGAGACATCTGCTATTAGACTGGTATAACATAATGATAAGTGACCACATTTGATATCATAACAATTTTTAAGTTATAAGCAATATAAAAAACTACCCATACTAAATAATCTCAGTGTTCATAATATTATAAGAGACAAGGCATAATTCTAACTGGCTCATCTACAGAACAAGATGTGAAATAATACTAATGTATATACGAGCACATTGTACCGACTGAATAAAACAAATATAAATCTTTTTTATTTCAGACCCAAATTCACCTGTATGTAGAACAGGAAGCAATCTGAAACAGTTTGTGAATAGATACAACATGGATGCACAAGTGTCCTGTGAGTGTGAACATATAGCATCACATAAAAATATTGCATCACTTGCTGAGTGTATGGAGCAAGCATGCAAAGATAATGCAAACGTCTTCAATTATAGGAATGTAACACCTCACAGTGGCTGCTATACAAAATTGTGTCATAAGAGATTTAGAGATTATGATTTTGAATTAATCAAACAAAATGGTCCTTATTTCGTTTATGCTTTAACATGTGAGTTAACACTTAATATTGTATTAGATTATAAAGGTCAAAATACATGTATATAAAAATATATCTGCTGATTTCAATTAATAAATATGTCTATTATTAACTACATGTATAATGCAGTTATACACGATTAACAATATAGAAGTACTGTATGTATCAGGCCCGGAGCCAGCTTTTGCCAAGGGGGAGATTCACTTTTCAGAAAAATTCCAGGGGGGTTCACCTTGACAAAGGAGGAGGGAAAGAACAGATGTCGTACAGTCATATGTTGGATTTTGGCTATTTTCTGAGGATTTAAACAGGTGCATATGTTAGACAAATGCATTACCTCCAGCACTCATAGAGATGATAAAACAATTTAGACTTTGAGACAGGGAAGATGCAAACAACCAACCCACATGTTTTTTCTGAAATCTTTTCCTGATTTTCAACCTCTTCCATCCCTGCTTTTTTAATTTTTCTATCACATGACTGTCCGAAATCTGTAAAATCAGCACTAAAATGGTGGCCATTTTTAAACAAGCGACCATTTTGAATTTTGACCATTTTTGACGATCAGTCCGTCCTTATGGATGGAGGCGTTCCTTATATCCCTCCAAATTTTGTTTGATGGGATGACAATCTCTTGTGCATACTTTGGTATATACAGGGTGAGCTGAAAAAGGTAACCCAAGCAAATATATGTCAATAACTCAGTCATTCAGCATGGGTCTAAAATCATATTTAGCAGGATTAATGTTTATGTTCAAATTCCATAGGTCACAATTTTATTGCCAATTATAAAACATGTTCAAATGCTGAAATGTGGCACACTCACTGGACATAAATTCCCCGGGGCCTTTATCTGTGATGCAAATGTCTTCACTAAACAGCCTTGAATTGAAACATTTGAAGCAAGAGATAAGAATGAAGATGACGGCCATTACTCAATATGCCTGTGCTTTTCTAGTGAACAACCTTGCCCGAAATGTTAAATTTTCCTCCAAATATGAAAGAGCATTGGACAAGGTATTAATTGTTTCAAATATGATCTTAATTATATGCTAAATGATTGAGTTATTAACACTTGTTTGGGTTACCTTTTTGGCTCACTCTGTACATATTTTATGGTGATATGACATGTAATATTTCATTTGTAATTGAATAAGGGTATTTTATATTCAAGTGGATGATATAGCAGATACTGGTTTCAAGCCACCAATACCGGAATGCAGAGTACCAACAAGTATATCAACTAAAGCTCTCACATCTGCAACCCCAACTAAATCAGAAGTGACATCTCCTCCAGATCCAGATCTTACTACAACTAAAAGTAGAAATAATCTTAAAATTAACACCTTGCCTCAGCTAGAGAGATTACAGTTCACTCAGAAACAATGAATAATCAACATTCATCATTTCCTCATATATGCACATGCACAGTTTGCATTATACATTTTCCTACAGTATAAAGTATTGCTTAATGAAGGTTCACAATAACAGGGGAACCTCTGCTACAAGAGATGTAAAACTTTTGATCTAAATGTTTTTTCTTTGTAACTTCCAGACACTAACTTGTATAATTCTGGTGTTAATTTTACATTTGTAAACCAACAATTATCTTACATTGAGTTATAAAAAGGTATGTGCCAAGCTATATTGATTCTATGTATTGCAGGTTTTATTAGTGTGGTGTCTGGGGTGTTAGGGTTGATTATCATCATTGTTGTTCTGGTCATCATCTTCATGTACAGGTCAGTATCAAACCCCATACATGGAAATTCATAAAACATTCCCTTGGTAAACAATTTACTTTTTATATCTTTTGCTTGTATAATATCTTTATTGTTATCACAAAATCAGACAGTGTAAATAACCGTCATACTTTACGCATGTATGAACATATCTTTATAATGATTGCAGGAGGAAAAAAGGAGGAAAAGGCCCCAGAAGGAGAACAGAGCAAAATACTGATAGCTCATCTCAAGTTGAGCATACTTATCAAAATGAGGTGAATCAAACAGAACATGTCAAAGAAGACCTGGCTATTTCTTCTCCAATCTATGAGGAATTAGCTATGAACATGAGAAGAACAGATCAATCAGAAGATGAGCATATATATACAGTGACCAATGGTCCAAGTGTTCATCAGAATAATGATGTGATACAGTCCATGGGCTGAAGCCTTCGGATTGACCTATTTGAGTCTAATTGTTGAAGATTAGAATCATTTGGGGTCTTAATACCAGTAAAGTTTACCTATATCCACATTTCTTTATTACATTGGTTGGCACCCATTGGTTTCTGATATTCACACGCCAATAAATGTGGTCAGATGATAAAGTTGAGATACCTCAACTTGTCCAAATGTTATGAAGTAATGTAAGATGTATGTATTTATGAAATAAAATACAAATAATAAAAGTAATGCAGGTTTTTAGTTGTTACAAATATACAAATAATAATAAAACAATTGCTGTTCTTTTTTCCTATGAATTATTATCTATTTTCACTTTGTATTTCTTTATTTGCTTAGCCCTATCTGGATTTATGAAACACATATGATCATTACACATAATTTTAACAACAATTTTAATTTAAGAAAGTGTGAAATAGAAATAATACAAATATGATTTTTTGATATAAAATCAAAATATTCTCAGAAACATTGAACTCCTTTCCTATCTTTAAAAATATCCTGAGAAGAAATGTTCTTTTTTTCTCATAAAATGATTTTCACTTTCTGTTTATTTCAAATATTCAGACAGAAACTGTTATCTTAAAGGCCATTAGAATTACTATAGTATAAAGCATTGTCTTCTGTTTATTGTAATTTTGGGTTTAGTGAGTCTGTTTCAATCACAAGAGGAAGAATATCAGTTTCCCACGAGCAATTAATGAGCATTATTACCACCTTGCCGAGCCAGTTCTAGGGGTTTTCGTGCTACTTTAGAAGGCATTCATTTCACTATATCGACCTGAGCAAAATGTGACGTCATAGTGGCGGGCAAGACCGGTCCAGAATGCATTTAACAACCGGCAATTTTCCCCGGGAAATCAGATATCGATCAGTGCTTAAAATTTTCTTGCTGTTTCAGTCCTGGTCATTAACGGTAGTAATAATACTAATAACGTCATTTCTGCGGGCAATATAGTGAAATATTGATCCTTGGGCCTTCGGCCCTCGGTCCAATATTTCACTATATAACCCTTTGAAATGACGTTATTGTACTATTCCTCCCTTGTCCGTGATGATTCAATCGTTTCATAGTTTTATAAGTTCAGTGAAACCCGTGCAGTGAAAACCTATGGAGCCACGAAAATGTGTTCACTACAGGTAGGTGTTCACTACATAGAGGCAATTTTATACAGATCAGTGAAGTATGTGCTGAGAAGAGTTGTTCACTGGACAGGGGCGTTCACTAAGACAGGTCTTACTGTACTTAATTTTGGTTGGGAGTCAATGTCAAAATGTTCAAAACATTTTCGGAATCAAATATCAAAATTGTTGCAAATAAGTTAATCTAGCAATATCACTTGCATATATTTTTAATTAGATTTTGATTAAGTTTGGAGTGTTTTTAATCATGAAAACTTTGAAGTGGTTAATATGTAAACTTACTCTTCACTTTTTATCAATTTAAATTTATGATACACAATTCATTATTCAAATGTCTATGACCAAGAACACTGAACACATTAATTTAGAATCCACAACAGTATGAAGCTATTTGGATTTATTGGAATATTCTTGCTGTTGACTGTTGATTGTTCAGTGATGTACAACAAACACAATGATACACGTAAGTCTTTTCGGGGTATGAAATATTATATAAAAGTTCAGTTAAGGTTCATTGTGAGAGCCTGCTATCAATTCATTTCTACTACAGCATATATTCTTTCAATTTCAGAAAGGTAGAGGTCTATGATTTACATGAGTCACAGTGAATTGAGTTGTTCAAATTGAAAATGTTAAAACCTCAATTTTATTTCAGCCAATTTTTGCATCCCAGATCAGAGCTTCCATTTAATACGAAATGAATATGATGGAAAACGAAGTGACTGCCAAATGATAGATAGAAGATATAATACGGACTTGGAAATGTGCAAACATTTAGCATGTCTGAGAGGTGGCAATGTTATCAACTGGAGCCACATCTTTTTTGGAAGGGGAGACTGTGAAATTAGGCAATGTTGTAAAAGAGATGATGAGGAAGACTGGAATTTTAAGATGGTAGATAATACGCTTGGATTTAGTGTCTACACCATTCCATGTGAGTTATAAGTGTTACTTATAATAATCTCAAAACTTATAAATTAAAACAGATGTCTGCTATTTGATTGATGTAACATATTAATAAGTGACAATATTATATGTAAGAACCATTGAAAACAACCAATACAAGACTCTCAGTGTTCATGTAATATAATACGAGACTAGGTATATTTCAAATGGCTCACCTACACAAGAGGAAGTTAATTGTCATTCTGATCCTCATAGCATCTTTCTGTTTCACCTGAAACATCTCAGGGCTGAGAAGAAATGAGATGTCATGGTATATCATGATGGTTAATTGTACTAATATACATTTATTCAATTATGTGTAATTGTTCAACTGAATTAAAAATAATCATATCCTTATTGCATAAAATAATAAATAGGGGTTATGCACTGGGAGGTTTTGGATACAGGGAATATCCCGAGGGATATACAATATATCTTCCCGAGGGACCGAAGGGACCAAGGGAAGATATATTGTATATCCCAAGGGATATTTCCTGTATCCAAACCGACCGTGGATAAAAAAACTTTTTTTTTTCACATTTTTTGCAGAATTTTTTTTTAGAATTTTTTTTAGAATTTTTTTTCAAAATTTAAAAAAAAATTTACATAATTTTTTTCCCAAAATTTATTTTTACATTTTTTTCAAAATTTTTGTTTTGAGCGGGACATACGATTTATATGTCCCGGAGCTCCGTTGGAGCGGAAGATACGAAAAATATTTGCCCGGATATGGAATATATTCCCGGTTGATATGTCCCTGAAACCTCATCAGGTATGGAATACATATAAATCTATTATTTCAGATACAGGTTCACCTGTATGTAGTACAGGAAACAATTTGAAACAGTTTGTGAATAGATACAACATGGGTGCACAAGGATCCTCTGATTGTGAACATATAGCATCACATAAAAATATTAGATCACTTGCTGAGTGTATGGTACAAGCATGCAGTGACTGTGCAAATGTCTTCAATTATCGGAATGTAACACCTCACAGTGGATGCTTTACAAAATGGTGTTGTATGAGAGATGGAGATTATGATTTTGAATTAATCAAACAAAATGGTCCCTATTTCGTTTATGCTTTAACATGTGAGTTAATCACTTTACAATATATTTGAATGTATAAATCAAACTATTAATATACAGGTATACATATAATTATCTATCATTATCATGCTGTTTGATAAAAAATCTCTAATCCTCAGTATTAATTCGTTGAATAATAACTTTGTCTTATTCTTTCAACTCTACACACGGACATATAATCATCAATTGTGAAGGCAATAAACCTATATACAAGGCAATAACAAACAAAATGTCATCACCTGCCATTTGGTACATTTGTTACTGGCGCCGAACTCTGGATGCTGACTGCTGGATGCTAAACAAAGTCCACAAAAAGTAGTAAATAAAACAATGTCTAAAACATAATGGCGATATGACCATAGAAGATAAGTGGGCAAGTGGTTTATGTGTAATAATCTATAATTCATTTGTTATCTAATAATTGAATATGGTTCTTTTACATTCTAGTGGATGATATAGTGGACAATGGTTTCAAACCACCTATACCAGAGTGCAGAGTAACCACCATTGCAACAACAGAAGCTCTCACATCTGCAATACCAACTGAACAAGATGTTACAACTGAACCAACTACAACTGACTTGGGTACAATCAATATAACTATAGTAGACACCTCAGCACCTTCAGAGGCAACAAACACTCCACATACACATTTTTATAGTATGAACACAGATTGCAATTCAAATCAAAATATAAGTTTAATGCATGTAATCCACAATCTATGATTACTTTAACATTTGTGGCACCTTGAAATATTTTTGCAATAACAATTTATTTACTTAGTAACAATGAACTTATTCAGGAACTTCGTGTCCCCAACTTATGCATTTCTGATATCAATTTTACTATAAAGCCTGGTTGTTCAACTGTAAAAGTTATCTTATAGTGATTTAATATGTAGCAATACTACTTGTACTTAAGTATATGCAATTTATTGATTGCAGCTGTTATTGGTGTGGTGTCTGGGTTGTTAGGACTGGTGATCATCATCCTTGTTGTGGTCATCATCTTCATGAACATGTGAGTAAACCATAATGCTACATTCATAAATTCACTTTCCAAAATAATCGTTTTCGGATTCAAACATAGAAAGTAGAATATCTTTCTTCGGCCAATAAAGCAAACTCAACAATTCAGTGCCTCACCAGATCATGATGCCATGTCTGTTCTTTGCTATTTCAGGAGACAGAAAAAGAGTCCAACAAGAAATAACAGGACAGAACAGAATAACAATTTGCCAGCTGTATCAAATAACCCATCACAAAGTGGTCCTATCATTGAAAATGTATATCAAAATGAAGTCCATGTTTATCAAAATGAAGTCAATGCCCACCATAATGAAGTTAATCAGTACCAAAATGAAGTGAATATATGCCCAAATGAAGTCCATGTGTATCAAAATGACGTTAATCAAACGGAACCAGTCATTCATCATATGGGTGAAAAATCCAAAGATTCCTCCAATATCAGAGACCATGACGAAAAACCTTTGAACACAAAACATGAAGGACCCCAATATAAAGCAAACCCAACAACAGCCCAAGTTAGAAGAAGTGAACTGTACACAAAAGTTGATTTGAAGAACAAACCAAAACAATCTAATGCCATTAAAACTACCCATGATACCCTCGACAAAGAATCTACTGGCAAAGACAATCCTATGTATCAACATCAAGAGTTACAGAATGACAGAGCATGTCTACAAGGATTGACTTCAGGACATCCAAAACTTAAAAGCAACTCGATATATTTCGCAAGTGATGATGACTATTCTTTGGAGACATGCTGATTTTAGATGAAAATAGGAAATCGCATTTTGAGATTACAAAATAATATAATCAAATGTACTTCTTCAGGTGAACATCAAACAACAGGTTGAGTTTACCTGAAAAAGATAGACATACATAAATATCTTGAAAATATCCTAAATCAACCATTTTGTTTCATTTTGAATAGTCATGTGGCTTTGATTGTTCATTGGACAGAACTTTGATACTACGTTACCAATAATAAAAATTTAGCACATAGGCATTATAATCTACATGAACTTCCCTTCTATGAATATCATTTATATCAAATACTAATAATTTTTTAGCTTTCACATACTTCCTTATTGTTATATAAACATATATTATATGTAATGTGTAAGATAAAAGCAAAAATAAAAACTCTCATAATCTCATAAACAGTTATAAATGTTATTCATTTAAATCCTATCAGTGCAAGTAATGGCCCTTATAGAGAGAGTAGTAAGGGACCAATGCAAGAGAGCAATGTCAGATAATGATCTATTTTCTGATAGTTCAGAAGGAAAAAAAATGAAACTACACATCTTTTGAAAATCAGTGGTCCTCATCTGGTTATAGAGAGATGTCTAAAATGCCAAATAATCTGACCGTTACTGTCATGAGACAGTGGACAGTCACTGGCTTTATAAAAAATATAAGAAAAAGAGAAATACATTTGCTACATAGGTTGCTCAAAGTTATGACGATATCTCTTAAAAATGCTTCAAGTGTCAAAATCTCTCATATACATAAAACAGGGCAGGGGGGTAGCTGTGGGTTAATTATCAAAATATAGTTCACTCACTCTCCAATGTTGAACTTTTGCATTGGTCCCTAACAGGAAGTATTTTTGAAAAATAAGTGAAAATCATGAAGTGGCTGATAAGACATCATAGTTAAAATCATCAATTCTACTTAAAAATTACTTTCACAAACTATGTTTACATAAACTTCATTTTTGAAATAATTAAATCAACTGTATATTCAAACAGAATCTATCAAAATAATGAAAAACACGATATATTTTGGATTACTCATTGGATCACTACTGAATGTGAACCTTGCATCATTTAATAAATATGCCAATGGTAAGTATATTCAAGTTTTGCTAATTGTAGAGAGACAAATCATCTCGAGATATTTAGGAAACAAACAATGTGATATTTAAGTTTACAATGGTATGTTTTATGGTCAAACTTTCTTTCACCTGTATTATTAAAAGTGTTTTTCAAATTTGTAGATCAACAATCCTGTAATTTTCATTTGATAAGGAAGAGAGAGGATAAAAAAGCAAGTATTAATTCGTTGAATAATAACTTTGTCTTATTCTTTCAACTCTACACACGGACATATAATCATCAAAATATGAAAATATCCTAAATCAACCATTTTGTTTCATTTTGAATAGTCATGTGGCTTTGATTGTTCATTGGACAGAACTTTGATACTACGTTACCAATAATAAAAATTTAGCACATAGGCATTATAATCTACATGAACTTCCCTTCTATGAATATCATTTATATCAAATACTAATAATTTTTTAGCTTTCACATACTTCCTTATTGTTATATAAACATATATTATATGTAATGTGTAAGATAAAAGCAAAAATAAAAACTCTCATAATCTCATAAACAGTTATAAATGTTATTCATTTAAATCCTATCAGTGCAAGTAATGGCCCTTATAGAGAGAGTAGTAAGGGACCAATGCAAAAGAGCAATGTCAGATAATGATCTATTTTCTGATAGTTCAGAAGGAAAAAAAATGAAACTACACATCTTTTGAAAATCAGTGGTCCTCATCTGGTTATAGAGAGATGTCTAAAATGCCAAATAATCTGACCGTTACTGTCATGAGACAGTGGACAGTCACTGGCTTTATAAAAAATATAAGAAAAAGAGAAATACATTTGCTACATAGGTTGCTCAAAGTTATGACGATATCTCTTAAAAATGCTTCAAGTGTCAAAATCTCTCATATACATAAAACAGGGCAGGGGGGTAGCTGTGGGTTAATTATCAAAATATAGTTCACTCACTCTCCAATGTTGAACTTTTGCATTGGTCCCTAACAGGAAGTATTTTTGAAAAATAAGTGAAAATCATGAAGTGGCTGATAAGACATCATAGTTAAAATCATCAATTCTACTTAAAAATTACTTTCACAAACTATGTTTACATAAACTTCATTTTTGAAATAATTAAATCAACTGTATATTCAAACAGAATCTATCAAAATAATGAAAAACACGATATATTTTGGATTACTCATTGGATCACTACTGAATGTGAACCTTGCATCATTTAATAAATATGCCAATGGTAAGTATATTCAAGTTTTGCTAATTGTAGAGAGACAAATCATCTCGAGATATTTAGGAAACAAACAATGTGATATTTAAGTTTACAATGGTATGTTTTATGGTCAAACTTTCTTTCACCTGTATTATTAAAAGTGTTTTTCAAATTTGTAGATCAACAATCCTGTAATTTTCATTTGATAAGGAAGAGAGAGGATAAAAAAGCAAGTACATGTTTCTGGGTAGATGGATTAAGGGATACTTCTCTCGAAGAGTGCAAACAGTTGGCATGTTTAAAGAATGCCAATATAATAAATTGGAATAGTAGTTCAAGATCCTGTCAAATAAGGAAATGTGAGAAACACAAAGAACTTGATGACTGGGACTTTCAAGAAAGATATTCAATGGCGCAGGAAGTGTACTCTATTCCATGTAAGTGTTAATATGACAGATTCATAATGCTATTCCATTTTTTTTTTTAGTTATGAAGGTTCTTCAAATTCTTGAAGTTGCTCCACTGACTTTTTAGTGCATGTATCTTTAATACAGTGGTGAGTTCAAAACTAAAAATATTTGCGGTCTAGTGAGGTCTTCTTGGGCCAGAACTTAGATCCAAAACCTACTTGCAGTCATTAATTGGTAATCACCATATTTAATTGATCATTTTTGCTTCCCTGAGATTTTTTATTTTTTATTTATTCATCATAAAAATATATACAAAACATGCAACATGTCACAATCTAAGACACCACAGTGGCATATACAAGACGTATCACGTGCTAAAAAAAGTCTTCTAGATAGAAAAAATGTAAGACTAGAGTCTATATGGTCTATATGCTATAAGCTACTGTACACATGATAAAGTATAATTGATACTAACAGATTAAACTTTCTAATGATTATATACATAGTGACAATTGTTGATGTGTCCCAAAAATGCTAGTAAAATGAAATCACTTATAAAATAGAACAAAGTATATTGGACTTTGAGTTAAATATAATGTTTTAAGAGTTCAGATTTGAAATGCTTCTTAAAATTTATTATTGAGTCATATTTTTTAATGTTATCAGAAATTGCACTCCAGATAAGAGGGCCATATTAACTGATTGAAAAAATGCTAGCTTTTCCAATATGAAAATCATTTTTTCTACGAGTGTTGTAAGAGTGAACTGAGTTATTTTTTATTAGTTTTATTTCTGGTATTGTTGAGAATTTATCATTGCCTTTTTCTACATCAAACATGAACATTGCAGTATTAATTTTGTTTACATCAAATATATTAAGAATACCCAGATCCTTAAAAAGGGGAGCTGAGTGGGTTTGTTGATTTTTATTGTATACAAGTCGAACAAAACGTTTTTGTTTTAATTTTAAAATAAATCTGTATTAAAATTTTAATTTTGATTAATGATATTAATCTTAGACTTATGATTTTGCTTGATGATTTAATGTATTTAATTTCAGATCCAGGTTCACATAAATGTGGACAGAGACACTATGTTAACAGAATGAATATTGAGTCTAATTCATCATCTCAATGTACACATATAGCCCCTCATCCTCACATTACCTCACTGACACAATGTATGGAACAGGCTTGTGAGGACAATGCAAATGTCTTCAATTACAGGGGTAAAAGCTATTCAAACTATGAGTGTTACACCAAACGTTGCAGTCATATTCATAGTACTGGAGACTATGATTTTATGCTGTCCAAGGGAAATGGTCCATATTATATATATGCTTTAACTTGTAAGTACCAATTTATATGGTTTATAACATTTAAAATAGTATATGAAATAGGACCATGAGCATGGTTCCAAAAGGTAACCGGACAACTCATCCCCTAGTTCCAAAATATTGTATATACATTTAGTAGTGACTAATATGTCATTGTTATGACCTAAGAGAGTCAATGATAATATATATTTGATATTTAGTGGAGCCTATAGAGGTTACTACGGAAACTCCAACCACAACAACAACCAAAGAAACAACATCAGGCTATATTAATACAACAGAGTCAATCCATTTATCTACATATGATGCTGCCTTAGAAACAACACAGGGTCATATTACTATAGGTGCTACTAATAGTACTATTACAATATCACCAACTGGAGTCCCAAGAAAGTGTGATATAACAGGTAGGGTATGATATGCATATTCTATTTCTGGCTCACCATGTACATGTACTTCAGTTTTTCTCCAATCAGGACTTTGTTAAGTAAATGCGATGACAAAGATATATGACCATACTAGCAAATGGCTGATGTCATCTTTGAACTATTTGAACATGTATGAATATAACCTGATCAATAGGGTTTTGTTCACTTTCAACAAATGAAACCTGCATGTACTTACCACTATAATCTAGAGTCAGTCACATAATTTAACAAGAAATGCATACATTGTTTCCTCATGTTATATTCTGGTATGTATTTTATTGCAGCTATTGTAGGGGCAGTTGTTGGTATCACCCTGCTTGTGATTGCAGCATTCATTATCTTCATCATCATTATATACAGGTATAACTATCTATGTGTAGCGCTTAGAATAAAATAGTTCGTTTATGTATATAAGTGTCCTATATCATACAAAATTTAGAAAATAATATAAAAGCCAAAAATGGCATACTGTATCAGCATAACTTAACAAGAGTGAGATTGGTTTACTTGCAGAAGATCGAAAAAGAGATGCAACCCAACCACAGATGGTGACAAACAGATTGAACCTGTATATCTCAATGATCCAAACAGCACTAATCTGAATGAATCTGAAATGCATAACTACGAGAATAAGGGAATGTGGAACCCAACCACGGATGGTGTAAAGCAGATTGAACCAGTTGAACCTGTTTATCTCAATGATCCAAACAGCACTAACCCAAATGAATCTGAAATGCATAACTACGAGAATAAGGGAATGTGGAACCCAACCACAGATGGTGTAAAGCAGATTGAACCAGTTGAACCTGTTTATCTCAATGATCCAAACAGCACTAACCCAAATGAAACTGAAATGCATAACTACGAGAATAAGGGAATGTGGAACCCAACCACAGATGGTGTAAAGCAGATTGAACCAGTTGAACCTGTTTATCTCAATGATCCAGACAGCACTAACCGAAATGAAACTGAACTGCATAACTATGAGGACATAAATTTGGACAATAGAACTCAGAATGAAGCAAACCTATACTGTAGGTTGGATTTGAACAGTGAATCAAAGCACCCCAAAGTTGAAGATGATAAAGAAACCCCTTATGCAGAATCCCCTTTAAAAGATGTGAATAAATCCAAGCAATAATATGTTGGGTTAGGTCCAAAATATGGAGTCTAATTCCATATACTCTATCAATTACAATGACTCTTCCCCAATGCAACCCGTTACAAAAAACTATCATCCCAAAGATCCCGTTGCTGGAAGTGAAGATAAGAACATACCTTGCCAGGTACCAATTATGAAGACCAAAGAAATATATTCCATCAATGATGATCAATACTTTAATGGTCAAAATGTAGCAAAAGCCACAAATCAGATAGATGATCTTTTAAAACTTTCAAGATTCACTTGAGTCAAGATATTGATACTTCCGTCATATCAAATGATCTAATTAAATGATACATAATCATAAACAGACATTCAACAAGAATGATGGAATCCGTTTGAAATCATTTATGTCTTTAGATGTGCGCTAGCAGTCAAAGTTTATTAGGTATAGTTATGAAATAGCAACACACTGAGATAATGAAATTTGAAAAACTGGTATTCAAGAGGATAAAGAATTACACAGAAAAATAGCATTTGGTGGTTGAAATCCTTTTGACATGTATACATACATGTATCTATATACACTCTTTGCAAGGCACAAATACTTACAATTTGAAATACTTTATGTTTTCTCAGTATAATTCTTTATTCTCTTAATTAATAGCTTTCAGAATATTTGAGAATATTTTTTCACTTCCTTGTTCATAAATTGGTTTGATGTCAATGGAACTTGTACCTGTCAGTACTGTTTACTATTAATACATACAGTACTTATAGACATTATTGATAATGTAGAAGGTGGTTTAAAGAATAGAAAATTAGATCATTGTCAAGATGTCACAATTGATGGTTTCCATGTTTATCAAAATGATGATATGGAAATCAAGATAACACAAGACCCAAAATAGATTAGTATCTCCTTGATATAATGAACCATGACATTATCATAAACCCTACCAAATATGACCCAACAGCCACTGATCAGTTTCCTATGTTAGTGTTGAACTCCATTTATTCTGATGACTATTTATTTGGGTGTCAAATAATGAAATGAGCACTGAAAACAGAAATGGTTATGACACATTTAAAATTAAAAAGAATCATAAAAAGATATTGAAGTGATTGAAAATTGAGGCCAGATCAAAAGGTATTAACATATTTCAAAATATTTTACGAAGAAATGTGTGACATTTACTCAAACACTTTTATAACACATAATACATAAAGCAACCTCAAGTGGTCATCTAAAATGAAAATGCACCTGTATGTCATAACAATTAACCATATACTAAAACTTTTTGAAAAACATAAGACTGCTATGTCTATTTATTCTTATATTGTAACACAATATTCTGGTCAAACCCAACACCTCAGAAGATTGGCGACAAAGATGATCTTTGGAAAACATAATGCTTTCATCATGGAATTGATATATTTAATAACATTTATTTTTTATATGAAAAATATATCAGGCAACATCAAAGCTGAAGGTAAATATAAATTATTTGTGGTTCTACAAGAATATACATTTGAGGTTAATTTACACTCAGTGACTGGTCCTTGGAAAACACTTTCCAGAATTATAGTACATATTGACATGTAATATATAAATAAACAATAGGAAGATTAACAGGTCAGTAAAAATGTTCATGCAATAATTGTTACGACAAGATTCATGGATTTTGCAAACAGCACATACACATAATTAAATAAAAGAGGGGAAAGGAGGAGGGAAAGTATCGATTTTGGACAGTCATATGTTGGATTTAAGCTATTTTCTGAGGATTTAAACATGTGCATATGTTAGATCAATGCATTACCTCCAGGAAAACCAATCATAGAGATGATAAAATAATTTTGACTTTGAGACCGGGATACGGGAAGATCCAAACAACCCACCCACATGTTTTTCCTGAAATGTTGCTCTGATTTTCAACCCCTTCCACCCCTGCTTTTTCAATTTTTGTTGCATCAATATGTTGTGTTTTGAGACACAGTTAACAACTTTAAAGGAATAAGTAATTCCCATGTTATTTTCCCATGGGGAAAACTCATGCGATCCATTGCTTTCAGCTTCTTTTGGTCACCCATAAGGGATATCTTTAAAACCCCTGAAGGAATTACTTATTCCTTTAAAGGGGTTGCTTGTGTGTCAAAACGCAACATATTGATGCAATAAAAATTGAAAAAGTAGGGGTGGAAGGGGTTGAAAATCAGAGCAACATTTCAGAAAAAAAACATGTGGGTGGGTTGTTTGCAACTTCCCCAATCCTGGTCTCAAAGTCAAAATTATTTTATCATCTCTATGATTGGTTTTCCTGGAGGTAATGCATTGGCCTAACATATGCACCTGTTTAAATTCTCAGAAAATAGCAAAAATCCAACATATGACTGTCCGAAATCTGTTGCTTTCCCTCCTCCTTTCAGTAATCAAGGGTAGTATTTCAAATAAACCAAATATTGTTTCTCTTTCTAGAGTTGCAGATTAACAATATGGAAAAATTCCACCTTCTGAGAACCTCCCAAGAGTATGTTATAAGTAATTGTAAGCACATAAGCAAGGAGTTTTTTAATCTTTCTCAATGCCAACAAGAAGCCAGAGATAGAAATTGTAATGTGATCAATTGGTCCTCTAATGACAAAAGATGTTACCTAAAACGCTGTACCAACCAAAGCACAGATGAAGAATGGGACTTCAAGTTTACAAAGTATACATGGCAAATGTATGAGGTTCATAGCATAGCATGTGAGTAAAAAAGCAGTTTACTGAATATATTGTTGATACAATTTGTGTGCTCCTATTATTTGATCGAATTCATAATATAGCGTAATTCTCAATGTCTTATAAAGATACATAGACTAATAAGTTGTTGTAATGAAATAAATTAAAACAGAACAATAGAACAGGCTCAATAGCATTGGTTTTAAAAAATTTTACATTCAAATATTATCTCAATAACAGGTGAAATCAAGATACAACAAAAATGTGTTAGAGCAACAAATAATTTAACCCCACAGATGCAGGGTGCAATCAAATAAAATATAACAATGATGCTTATGTACTAGATATTGTACTAAGATACCGACTCATGTGATTTTAGATCCATCTACTCCAATATGTAAAGGCATTGTATTTGTCAATCGGAAGACATACAGTGATCAAAATACCCCTGTTACATCTAACTGTCCTGATGTAGGAGAACACAAGCAACCTGCCAACTTACATCAATGTATGTCTAGTGCTTGTAGTCAGGGTGCCAATGTGTTCATATACAGTTCAAGCACCCGTTTCTGCCAACCTAAGCGCTGCAACACCAAAGCTGATGGTATGTACAACTTACAGGTTGCAAACATTGATAATGATGATGGAAACCAGAGAGGATATGACATCTATGCCTTATCAGGTATGAAATTATATCTTTTATCCATTTTTGAATTTGTATTTCAATGTCAAACATTTGAAAACATTTATCTTACAGCATACACTAATGTATTTGTGTAGAATGCAATGAATAAACAAAATCAAAACCAAAATACAACAAAACAAACAAGAATATCTAATAAATACACTATACTACTACATTTATGCATTTATTAATTTCATCATTGATAGCAACTCCTGTGCCTTGGACCACAGAGGGAACAACCATGGGCATTCAAGAGACTGAATCCACAACAGGTCTGAGTACATCAACTGTTTTCTCAGGATATGAAATAATGATAATATGAAATCAAAATTGAAATCTGACTTCCAGTTGACATTCCATGACTTTTTAAAAAAAGTTGAAATGGTCTTTTCAAAATTAGTTTTTTAGTTTTAAATAGGCTATAACTGTTAAAATGGACAAAAAATTTATGATTAAAGTCAAAACTTTGAAGATCAAATATCAGGGTAAAAAGCTTGGTTGATTCAAGGCTAAGAAAAGTTAGGAATCTGGAATCTTAAATTGAACTTGAACTTTGTTCAATTTTACCATTCTAGTTATGATTGTCTCCATCGTAAGGCAACTAATTTAGCAATTAAAACAAATCACAAAATTATTCCAAGAGTTCTCAAGTATATTTTTCATTTTTGCCATTCACCTGTATAATCTGAATTGGTTGTAAAATATGTGACCAAAAATAAGTCTTATTGTAAACACACAACCCACCATTTTAATACAATTATAGTGGAAGCCAATGAGATAACTACAGAAACACAAACAACTGCAATAGCAACCACTGCAACAACACTCTCAATTACGCCTGAATCAACCCATACATCAATGTATGACCCTGTCTTGAATGCTACTCATAGCACTAAGAATGCTTCTAATCCTATCACAAAATCACCAGCTGGAGGAGCCCCTACCCAGATTAATACCATAGGTACAGATCAACCTAAAGTTTGAATCAAATCAGGATTTTCAATGACCTTAGTTTTTTTAATCAAAACTTACTGCAATGTTTGAAAAACCATCCATATCAATAATATTATTAAAGTGTGGTGTAATTCAACTCTTCAAATTTTTGGGCAATATGTTTACTGCATTACTGAATATCTTCCTTACAGATATAAACTATTGAACATGTTCCTTATATGGAGGCTTATAAAAATGACCTTAGGAAGATTTTCTGATTTTTTAAGAACCCTGGGAAATTAATAGCCAAATATGGTAATTTATAGTGAATTCAGTATCACTCAGACCATCCTAAATGTAGACTACAGTATTCATGACTAAATATTTTGCTGCTATCTAATCTGTTAACTGTAGGTATTATTTATTGTAGTCATACTTGGGGCAGTCATCGGAATCCTGATCCTCCTTCTTGTGATTGCAGTACTCATTATCTTCATCATTATATACAGGTATCTTATATAAATGTTTATCTTTAAAATAGTATGCCATTATTATATACAATATTATTACCCAGGAACATAAGTAAAATTGGTTTACTTGCAGAAGATCCAAAAAGAGATGCAACCCAACCAAAGCTGGTGACAAACAGATTGATCCAGTTGAACCTGTCTATCTCAATGATCCAGACAGCACTAATCTGAATGAATCTGAAATGCATAACTACGAGAATAAGGGAATGTGGAACCCAACCACAGATGGTGAAAAGCAGATTGAACCAGTTGAACCTGTTTATCTCAATGATCCAGACAGCATTAAGCCAAATACATCTGAAGTGCATAACTATGAGGACATAAATTTGGACAATAGAACTCACAATGAAGCAAACCTGTACTGTAGGTTAGATTTGAACAGTGAATCAAAGCATGTTCAAGATGATAAAGAAACCCCTTATGCAGTTTAAAAGATGTGAATTCTTAAAATAAATTCAGCAAATAAGTTGTCAAGTCAGTTCCAAAATATGGAAACTAATTCCATATACCCTACAAGTAATAATGACTCTTACCCGCAACTGATAAAAAACTCAAAACTCAAAGTAGTCCCAAAGATCCAGTCAGCGGAGGTCATGATAAGATCCCACTTGGGCCAGATTACGGGAAGATATCATATATTCTTTTCAACACATTCAAAATGGCATAGCATGTACATAATGAGTGATATTTCACAATTCATACATTTTGTTTGTTTTCAATGGTTATATGACTTCAACTACTGTTCATTAAGCAGAAATTTGATTATAAGATCTGACAAATATTAGATGCATATTTAAATGAGTTGAACTACTCTGTGTGCAGAGTCTAGTTATAAACTACCCTCTGCCTAGTATCAACTTTATTACAGTTTAGCAGCCCAAGCTCCACGACCAATGCCTGTGATGGCTCAGGTCATAAATCATTTCATACCTAATGCACTGACATATTCTCAACCAATCAGCGAGGTGGAAGGAACCCTTGCTAAATGTGTGCACAATAATTATGCGATTATGTCAGAGAAAATAACCGTCGCCCTTTTTTCGAAGAAGAACTCTGATTAGCAGGGTGAGTTCAGAGATTTATTAAAAACTGAAAGAGTGAAGACAAAGCTCTCTTTTAAGAAGCAAGTTGAACTAATGCAAAGGGTAGAGTTGAACATAACATAGTGGTCAAATCATCAGCCGACATTTGAATTGGTGAATGCTTGCTAAGTTTGTACACTGGACTTAGACCTGGGAATACCAGTTCTTACATTGTATCAGTTTCAGTTTTGTCTAGAGAATGTGCAAATGTAATTAAATAGTTGACTATTTTATAAACATATACAGAACATAACATATAAACATCATAGTTCACAAGAGGAGACATTTTAAATCTTAACCAGTTGAGGTGAAAAATAATCACCAGAATTTTTATAGAGGTGTATAATTTGCCCAGTCCACCATCCTGACAGATGTTACAAAACCCAACTAAACAAAACAATACAAGGACCCTAATTAAATAAAGAGGGTGGCATGATGTTGATTTTGGTGTTGAAATATTGAAAATAGTAACAGGAAGTGTTTTCTGAAAATATTGTGAACAATTATGTGGCTGATATCATAGTCTAGTTAAACATCAACACCTTTATCTTGGCACATAAATTTTTATGACAAATTTCAACGAATTCCACAAAGTAAAATTTCCTTAATGAACTTAGTTTACATGAACTTAAATTTTTATTTTTTGAAATAACAATTCAATTTCAACTCAAGATACAGACAGAATCAATCAAAAAAGAAAACAATGCAAAACATGATATATTTTGGATTACTCCTTGCATCACTACTGAATGTGAACCTTGCATTATTTAATGACCATGCCAATGGTAAGTGTTTTCATATTTTGCTAATTGTAGAGAGAAAAATCATCTTGAGATATTTAGGAAACAAGCAATGTGATAAAAGTTGTTTTCAAATTTGTAGATCAACAATCCTGTAATTTTCATTTGATAAGGAAGAGAGAGGATAAAAAAGCAAGTTCATGTTCCTGGGTGGGTGAATTAAGGGATACATCTCTTGGAGCATGCAAACAGTTGGCATGTTCAAGGAGTGCCACTGTAATAAATTGGGATAGTGGTTCAAGATCTTGCCAAATAAGGAAATGTGACAAACACAAAGATTTTGATGACTGGGACTTTCAGGAGAGAAGCTCACTTGTGGACGAAGTCTACTCTATTCTATGTGAGTATAAAATAATATGACTAATTTTCAGAACTATATTCTTTTTTACCATGTAAGAGTATTTAACATATTGGAGACAGTTGAGAGATAAAAGCCAAACAAGGCATTAACATGACAAAATGTCACCACCTAGTTGCTCACAATATTATGACTTCAATCTTAAGTCAGATTTGAATTTCTGAGAACTTGTTGAAATGATTTGGAAAAAAAATTAGTCAATTTGAAGCAAGTTAAAAAAAAAACTTTTTGACCCTGAGAAGGTCATTGAAGGTGAAATCTAAAATCTAAACTCAGATTTGAACTTGTAGATGAAGCAAGTTGAAAACAGACCTTTTTGAGCTTTTTTTACCTTCAGGTCATTGAAGGTGAAATGTAAAGTCAGATTTCAACTTCTGAGAACTCATAGGTCTTGAAAAAATAGGTCAATTTGAAGCAAACTGAAAAATACCTTTTTGACCTTTTTTAACCTTTCTTGACCTTGAAAAGGTCATTGAAGGTCAAATTTTAAATCAAGTCAGAATTGAACTTTCGAGAACTTGTAGATGATTTTGAAAAAATTGGAGTCAGTTTAAACATTAAGTTATTGGAAGTTGTAAGAATTTGTTACAGATGCCAACGACCAACCACCGATCGCCAACCATCACCTGCCTTCTGCCGTCATAAAAAAATGGAGACCATAATAACAATATGTCACCGCTTTTTGGTGCTGACATAAAACTGTTATTCCACATTTGACTATTTAAGCTGATATTATTTATTTTATGAATATTTAGAGTATAAAAATGTTTAATTGTTTATGATGTCTGCATGTTGAGAGAGGCTAAAATTATACAAATTATACATAATTGCATAATTTTTATGAATTCAGTTCTTGAAAAAATTCTCATGATTTTCCAGTGTCTTGAATATCTGGAATACATTTGTTCATAGTTCACCCCTATAAGAATTAAGAACTAGGAGTCAGTGCCTGGGTCACCAATTTAAAGCACTACAAATGTTATGGGCAATTCAATATTCAAAATTGGTATTGAAGGTCAAGAGAATGCTTTGGGTCAATATCATCAGAAGGGTCAAATTTGTAAAACAGTTAATGAATGATACCTGCCATCAAATATATCAACAATATAGTCACTACAGACCAAGCTTTAACTAAAGGTCACAGTAAGGAGTCAAGATCATGAGAAATATTAGCAAGGTAATACACAAAATGTTGCCACCTGCCATTTGTTACAGATGACATTGTTACAGATGCCAAACACCAACTTGTGGTTGTGACATAAAAATCAATGTTTGGGTTATTTTTCTATTTTAGTGTTAGTATATGGAAGGTCAATGGTCTTAAAGGTTCTTCGGATCAATAGATTAATCAAGGGAATATCAATGAAGTAGCTACCAAAAAGTCTCCAATCATGTTTCAGATTATACACCAATGGTGTGGGATCATAATGTCATCAAAATGTATGAGGCTTAAGTATCATGAATTTTAAAAACTGGGCTTGGTTAATTCCCTTTAACATTGACAAAATTGGTCCCTAATCTTAGAAAAATGGGTTTATTTTTGTAAACTTTTATCTACATTTATATGAACCCGTTAAACTCATAAAGCATTGGTGTATATGGAATATCTGAAATAACTATAACTATATGAACTCCTGAAATCAATTCGTAACTTAGTGTATCTATCTAATAGTATTTATATCATATTATTTTTTATATGTACTGTTTTCTTTCAGATCTGGGTTCACCTAAATGTGGACAGAGACACTATGTTAACAGAATGAATATGGAATCTAATTCATCATCTCAATGTCCACATGTAGCCTCTCATCCTAACATTTCTTCACTCAAAGAGTGTATGAGACGGGCTTGTAAGGACAATGCCAATGTCTTCAATTACAAAATCAAAGGCAATGAAAATAATTCAAATGGATGTTTTACCAAAAACTGCAGTCGTAAAGATGGGAATGGAGATTATGATTTCATCTTTTCTACTGACAATGGTGCATACTATGTATATGCTTTAACTTGTAAGTACCAATCTATATGGTTTATTATTTATTATATTCATCATAACCAAAGTTTCATACAAAATATGCATAGGGTGTGCCAATAAATGCATATAAACAACATTTCAAACAATCTATGGATTAATTTTAACACTGATGGAGTAGTCAATCATAGTTCAGTTATGCTGCAATTTCTAGTTTTAAATTTGTTCAATTTTATACTGATATTATGTATCATAACTAAATAAAGCAATACTGTACTTCAATACTGTTTTAGTGGAGCCTGTAGAGGTTACTACGGAAACTCCAACTACAACAACAACCAAAGAAACAACATCAGGCTATATTAGTACAACAGAGTCAATCCATTTATCTACATATGATGCTACCTTGAAGACAACACAGTGCCCTATTACTATAGATGCTACTAATAATACTATTACAACATCCCCAACTGGAGTCCCAACAAAGAGTAATATAACAGGTAAGGTGTGATATGCATATTCCCTTTCTCTTTTTCTCCAAATATGACTTACACGTATATCATGCAATAAAATAAATATTATTTACACTAAATGACTGGTGCCATATTTGAACCAATTGTTTTTACATAACCGGATCAATAAGGTTTCGTAAACTTTTAACAAATAAAATATGCATGTCTTATCTTATCATAAACTAGTCTCAGTCATACATTTATACAAGAAATACACATATTGTTTCCTCATGTTGTATTCTGGCATGTATTTAATTGCAGCTATTGTGGGTGCAGTCATTGGAATCCTCCTTCTTGTTATTGCAGCACTCATTATCTTCATCATCATTATATGCAGGTATATCATCTGTTATTTTTCTTATATTATGCCATGATTATGTACAATATTGCAAACCTAGCAAAGCCTTGTGACAGAGCTTCTGCTAGTAATAGCGGTTTGGGACAAATGGATTAATAGGAAAGTACATGTTTACTGTATCATACTATATTAGTACAACAGAGTCAATCCAATAGAAAAGTTTATTTCTGTGTATCAACTTCCTATATCACACAAAATCTTGAAAAGATCAGTAAATTGGTAAATTGTTTAACAATGAAATAGCATTCTATCATATGTGAATGATTAGAAAGCATAATATAGTAAGAGTGAAATTGGTTTATTTGCAGAAGACGAAAAAAGAGACACAATCAACCCACAAATAGTGACAAGCATACACTTTCTAACAATTCGTCACACAGTGATGAAAGAGTTGAACATGTTTACCTTAATGATTCAGAAAGCACTAACCCAAATGAAACAGTAGTACATAACTATGAGGATATAGCATTGGACGATGGAGCTCACAATGAAGCAAACCCAAAAAGCAACATAAGACTAAGCAACCTGTACTCAAACGTGGATTTAAACAGTAAATCAAAACACACAAAAATTCAAGCTGATAAAGAAACCCCTTATGCAGTATCCCCTTTAAAAGATGTGAATTCTGCCCATGATAATGTAAATTCAGTCCATGATATGTTGGGCCAGTTCCCAAATATGAAAACCAATTCCATATACTCTATCAGTAGTGATGATGATCCCCAGTTGCAAATTGATAATGAAACCCCTTATGCAGAATCACCTTTAAAAGATGTGAATACAACCCCTGGTAACATAAAGTCCTCTAAAGATTCAAGTCAAATTTTGTTATCCTCAGGTCAGTTTCCAAGTATGAAAACCAATTCCATTTACTCTATCAATAGTGATGACTCTTCCCCGATGCAAAATGATAAAGAAACCACAGCTCAATATGATCCCAAAGACACTGTCGATGGAGATGATAAGATCAATGAAATATATTCCACCAGTGATGGTCACATTGATGGTCCAAACGCAGCAAAAGACACAAACCAAGGAGATGATGGTTATGATCTTTTGAAACTTAAGAAAGACAAAAAGGTTCAGTTAAATCAAGATATTGATACTTACAGTCATATTAAATGAACTAGTTAAATGACACATCATTTCAAACAGACATTTACCTTTTGGATAACCAGAATAATAAAACCCTTTTCAACTGAATTCAACTGCCGGCTGATGGCTTATTCATTTTATTTTATGGCCAAATTAAATAGTACCACAAACATTGCTTTAACATTGGCACTTTCTATCACTTGTACACAAATTATGTTTTAAAATATGTATGAGAGGTCAATGAGAAGAATTAAATTATATGAAATCGAACATCACATGAATATTTAGTTAAAAAATGGTTAATGAATTATTCTTAGAATATATAAAAATGGAAAACACTTCATATTACATGTATTTAAACCACATGATTTGAAATCACGATGCTCTTTATCAGAATCATTTTTTACTTCCTTGTTTAATTGGTTTGATGTCCATGGTACACTGTACTTGTACCTGTCAGAACTATTATTTATTAGAAAATACAGCATAATTGCACCTTTTAATCTTGTATTTGTGGTTGATTAAAATTGTACCTTTAACCCTATACATATTGACACTGATCATCCTGATTTGCTATAATTGTGATTCTACAAAAAGGTTGCAGATCTTTGACAGTGAAAACATGAAAACAATGACTCTTTTGCTTTGTATCGGACTTATAACAATAATGGAATGTGTGATGGCATTGAACAATGGAGATGGTAGGTTTATTTTTTACATTTTGATTTTCTAAATTTAACATGAGATTTCTGATTACCATTCTAGTTGCATAGTCCTCATATCACACAACCTACGATTCATTTTTTTATTGTTTCAAATATTATATTTTATGAAAGACTAATAAATATCATAATCTTAGAACCTCCATCTCCAGTCTTATAAGGTGGAGTATAGCAAATATATTTACAATGTGAAATCCTGTTTGGGTTAAAAGCATGTAAAAATGATATTACATTTTCCAAGGTTAATTCAATTCTACTAGCAGTAACTCATAACTTTTCCAGAATACAACTGTGTCCCTGGGAACTTTCATTTGATCAGAAACACAGAAAACAAAAATGTCAGTAACTGCAAATCGGTTGGCTCAAATCAAGAAGAAAACTTAGATTCATGTACTAAGAGGGCCTGTGAGTGTGGAGGAAATGTTATCAACTGGAAGTCGCAAGAGAATGGGTCTTATTTAGGACTATGTGATGTACGAAGGTGCTACAGAAATGATAATGGAGATGACTGGGACTTTCAGATTAGAAATGGCTCTGGTTATAAAGTCTATGCCATTCCTCGTAAGTTTTATCATTTTATCTCTAAGTAGAACATTCCTGGAAATAGACATTCTATATTAATTTCATAAATATGAAGCACTACAATAATTACAACAATAACATTGAACTTTCTTTTTATTTTCCAGACCCAAACATACCTACCTGTCCAGACAGAACCAATAACAATGTAGTACATACTAAGCAGTTCATAAATAGAAGGGACATCTCAGACGGGATGTCTTCTAACTGTCTCCATCTTGCCAATAAAGATAATTACACATTGACAAAATGCATGGACTGTGCTTGTCAAAATAAAACAGCTAATGTTATTAACTTCAGATACGAGAAAAATAATAATATTTTTCGATGCTACTTAAAACATTGTCAAAAAAACAATATGAATGATTATAACTTTAAGTATACACCAGAATATCACGGATTTTATGTTTATGCATTATCACGTAAGTTCATCATCAACTTTATATAATTCTTTTCGTCTAAGAAAATGAAAGGGACATTAGGAATAAATGGTATCAAGTGCAAGAAAAACATATGATCACAGAAATCTGAATTAAATGAAGTAGAATGGACTGGAATTGAAATAACTTGTGATATTTCTTCATAATGCATACACTTCTTAAATTCTTTATCTGAATTTGTATTCATGCAGTCACCATATTAATAGGTGAATTTAAACTTTATAAAATGTTTCAACAACTAAATTCTAGTGAAACCTATTGTGAATGATGACCATGTGCCCAACACCACAGACTGTACTGCAACAACAACCATATCAACAGAAGCTATGACTTCACCGGAATATCCAACTACAAATGAACCAGAAACCAATGAACCCTCAACAAATAGTGCAACTGAAGCAAGTACTGGTACTACAGGAGAGAGCTTGAGTTCAACATGGACAGAGTCTACTACTGCAACAAAGTCTACTCCCTCAGATATAAATTCAACTTTAACAGGTACGGACAGCACAGTATTACAGTACAGGGTATTAACATGACACAATTTCGTAACCTTGGTACAATTTAAAAAAAAACATAATCAAACTATTTGTCACAGGTGCAAACATTTGAGCATGGTTTTAAGAATGAATGATCAATATATTCATTATTTTAGTTATTCTAATGCGGTGTTAACATGACAAAATTCCAAAGGTATACTTTTTGTAAAAGGTGCAAACATAGTGGCTTTAACAATGAACATATAGCCACTTCTTGACTGTGGCATGAATTGATTTACTTCAATAAAATGATAAAGCCCATTCTCTTTGACATCCCTTTCAGGGATAACATCCTCTAGTGGAAGAACAACTGATCCACAACAGTCATCAACTGGTGTAGGGAGTAAGTATTCATATTTCACTATTTAAAGGTTTTGTTCAGCATTTTATACTGTGTGTTTCAAAGAAGAAATTGAAATTATGGCTCAACAGCATGCCAAATGAACTCAGAAGACCATAACAGCAATGTTCCCGATATTTTTTTCTAAATTAGGAAAAATTCAAAAATTCCATTATTTTTTTACAGGGTGAGCCCAAAATATATTTATAGTTTAAGTGTAAAAATTCATTTGTTGTTAATGTAACTGTTCTCAAACTTTCAGTTTATATCATACCTTATTTGTGTTATAAAAGTTCCAAAATTAAGTGACTATGTGATACTCATCTGAATAGATATTTACATTTATATATGATTTGTGTATGTATTTTGCAGTTATAATTGCAGTTATACTGGGACTCCTTGTAATTATGATTGTCATCCTTGTTATGGTTGTCATCATCATGTACAGGTAAGTTACGATATAACATAAGACATAAATCAATATTTCAACAAAACAAACCAATACAAATGCTATAAAATACATACAAAAGGAGCCAATCAGTTAGGTTCAATGTTTTATTCAAATGGATACATCTTAAACTAATAGGAAAATCAAGTTTAGAAAAATGCCCCATAGAACTAGTCAGCAAGCTTTTGTTTTTTATTTGAGATTAAATGAAATGAATATTTTAAAATCACATTTTAACATAAAATCAACATATTTAACACATGAGTCAGAATCTGATATTTGGTATAAAGATAAGTAAACATTAATTACACCTCCAAATGTAAAAATACCAATGGGTCCCAAAGTTGCCTCCTCTAACTGACAGTACACAGTCAGCACAAGTAGACTGATGAGTGTACATGGGAAAGGTTAATTGCCTAAAAGATTTTGATGTTAATTCAATATCAAAATCCTCAAATTGAGAAAGCTAAAATCATACTTCCTTATTCATTTAATCTATGAGCAAATAGTTGACTTTTCCTCGTGTGATATGACTGTTTAACCTCAATCTTGACATTGTCAAGGGAAACACTTTAAATTGATATACAGCAATACAAGTGTACCATTGCAGGAAACAGAAGAGGAGCCAATCAGCTACAAGTAGTGGAGGATTGGACAACAATATGATAACTATCTCCAATGACTTATCATCAAGTGGGCCAAACACAGAACATACATACCAAAATGATCCAAGTATAATCCATAACAAAGAAGTACAGTCTGCTTCCTCTAATATGGGACTCCCAAGCTATGAGGAAGTAACTCTTGATCAATCAAATCAATACGAAAATCCAAAGAAGGCAAATTCAACAAAAACCCCAGTAAGATTAAGTGAGCTGTATACTAAAGTTGATTTGAAGAGTAAACCAAAACATATTCAGGCCATTGATGTTGATGATCTCCCTAATGCAAATGCCATCTATCAAAATGATGAAATGATTCAAAATTGTAGTACCTCTCAATATGAGAATCTAGCTATACCTACTAAAGGTGATCTGACAAGGGTGTCTCTAGATGCCACTCAGGCCAATGCCCCAGTGCTAGAAGATAACTCTGCTGATATAAAACAAGATGAGTACTCATTAGCATGGGAGGCAGCATCAGATGATATCAAAGTCACTGTTGGGGACAATACAGATGAGGGTTATGATATATTAAAATTAAATAAAAATAAGAAAGAGGAACATTTTGATGATAGTTATAGCAAGGTCAAGAAGTATTAAAATGAATTATATCATTTTTGTTATCTGTAAATTGAAAGCTTCCTCAAAACGTGTATGTGTAACGCAATCGGATTGGTGTAATTATAAGTAGGTATGTAGACCAATGATATTATAAAATATAAGCTTATATTGTGTCCCCTTGATTTTGTGATATAACATAATTCATTACGATTTATAATGTCTGGTATTATTATCACTCAGTTAAAGTAGTTGTACTTACAATTCTGAAAACATATTTTTAGTGTACCACCATGATCAACATTTTATTAGTTAATACACTATTTATCCAAACTATATTTTATTGCTGTTATTATTCATAAATGTTTATTCTTAAATACAGCATCAATCAAAATCACAATGATGCATATAACGGTGAAAAGTGAGTACAATACAAAGGCATATATGGTAGACATCCACTTGCATGGGCGTAGGACAACAGATAGTTGCAAACACACTCCATATACAAATAATTTCAAAAAATTTCCCCAGACCCCCTGAATGTCCGTTTTTTGCTTCGTTTAACTTGTGTTCTCGTTGTGACGCACTACTCATAAAAATAGCACTACGCCCATGACTTGATAACATTCAGGGAAGAGCTTAATCCAAAACTAGATAGTATGAGTTGATAAATCTCAGCTGACATTTTTAAAACTTAATTTATTAATAATACTTAAAATAAATTTCAACTGGGTTTATTTAAACACAGATTATTTGAAATACATATCCATTACAACCAACAAGGTCTAGAGTAGCTTCAGAAAAATGGAAAGAATTGTAAAAATAGTATGTTCATTATATTTATTTCACAAAGTGTCTCTTGCACTGATATTGTTCTCAATAAGTGTGGATTGTTCAATGCTTAATTCGGGTGAGTCAAGCAATTTATCATTTTTTCTTTCTCACTACTTTTTTAATCTCATTGGAATTCTCTTTTAAGTTACTCTCTAATTGTGACTGATATCAATTTTACCTGATATATTCTGAGTGGTTCTATTCTTGATTTTAATAACACACCTCATAAACATAATCTTTTTTAGACTTTACTTGCAATCCTGACAACTTTCATTTGATCAGACACATAGCAGATGACAGATACAGTGACTGTGATGAATTAGAATCAAATGATATGGACTTAGAACCATGTAAAAGAAAGGCGTGTGAGAAGCAAGGGAATGTTATCAACTGGAGACCAGGCATTCTTTCGTTATATCAATGTGAAGTTAGAAAATGTGTAAAGAATGAAAGAAATGATGACTGGAGAATTAAAATAAAAACTTCTTTGTTTAGTGGTTGGAAGATCTATATTATTCCATGTAAGTATAAACCAAGTACTAGTACAATGCTTTACTACATTTTGTACTTGATATTATATGTTTATAACTTAAATTGGTAGTCAACAGCCCCAAATTTGTGGCATATGGTACCACAGCCCCTGTATGCACACGCTAATTACCACATAAACATTATACAAGAAAAGCAGTCCTACACACTTATTACCACATAAACTTTTTACAGGAAAAACAGTCCTAAACACTTATTACCACATAAACTTTATACAGGAAAAACAGTTCTACACACTTAATACCGCATAAATTGTATACAGGAAAAACAGTCCTACCTTTTGTCCAAATTCAATGAAAAGTAGGACCTTTTGTAAGATTTTTGATATTCAGAATTTTCATCCAAAGATAATTGAGTTCGCAAATTATGAAAATTGTTAAGGTTTGAATTAATTTTTTTCTCCTCTGGTACCCTTATAAGATATAGATCAAAATTAACATGAGATCTATTTTATAGATCCAAATGCTCCTAAATGCGAAAAGTGTGAAAATTCAAAACTGCTCAAGAAACAGTTCATCAACAGGAGAAACATGATTGACAGGAAGAGATCAGACTGCCGTGATTCAGGTTTTTCAAATAGCCATAATTCAACAAGTCTGAAGCAATGTATGGTACAAGCTTGTCGTGACAATGCTAATGTATTCAACTATAGGGACCAGGAATGCCAAACAAAACGATGCAACTTTGAAAAAATTGATGGTGATTATGATCTTAAATTGGAAACTGATCCAAGAGGATTCTTGGTTTATGCTCTCACAGGTGGGTAGAATAAAAACTATACTGTACAACAAACTACATACAAATATTGATGATTTATAATTGGCAAAAAATATCCAAATATGATTAAAAATGGATATAAATTGGTACTAATTTCATTTCAGTGAACCCTCTTGTAGATAATCCTGATGCACCTACTACAATAGAAACAACAACAGGGCCTCTTACAACTCTTCAAAGCACAAACACAGTCACAAGAGAACCAACAACAGGGCCTCTTACAACTCTTCAAAGCACAAACACAGTCACAATAGAACCAACTGGAACTACTGTTACAAATAGAATAAAAACCACATCTCCTGAACACAGTGGAACAACATATGGTAAAACTACTACACAACCAGGTAACTGCAGTTCATAAACATTTATGCATAAACTGCAGTCATACTCTAAAAAACTGCAGTAACTGTAATCTAATGCAGTCATGAATGGTGGTATGATTGAATAAAGTTTTCAAAATAAGATCACACTGGATTGCCATCTCAAGGGATGCTAATTGCCAATTCCAACAAGACACACAGTGATAAATATCGCACTTTGAAGAGCAAACTGACCACCATGCAATTTACCCAGCATGGCCAAAACCTAATCAGACCTTGGCACTAGTCTGCTCTTGCATCTGTAAACATTTCAAGTTGATAAGGTTAGCGGTTTTCCTGCAATTTTGATGACAAGAATTTATTTGTAGTCTTGAACTTTGGGAAGATTTAGATAACATTGTTTGTGACCTAATTTGATGACCTTCGACCTTGAAAATTTCACTTTTTCAGACCTCAGTAGGTCTTTTGTAATTAGCTGACCTAAATTTAAATCCAAAATATCAATTTAGAAAATCAAATTTTTGACCTTTTCAAGGCCACTGAAGGTCAACGAAAGGTCAAATCTGAAATCTAAGGTCAGATTTGAACTTCTGAGAACTTGTAGATGTTTTTAAAAAAAAAATTTGGTCAATTTGGAGCAATTTGAAAAATTCAAAATGGCCGCCAAATTGAAAAATTCAAAATGGCCACCATGTAATTCAGCCAGCATACCCAAAACCTAATCAGATCTTGGTAATAGTCTGCTCTTGCATCTGTAAAAATTTCAAGTTGAACGGATAAGTGGTTTTCCTGGAATTTTGATGACAAGATTTGTTGAAAAATTCAAAATGGCCGCCACATAGTTTACCCAGCATGCCCTTTACCTAATCAGATCTTGGTACTAGTCTGCTCTTGCATCTGTTTAAATTTCAAGTTGAACAGGTAAGCAGTTATCCTGGAAATTTGATGACAAGATTTGGTTTATGTCCCGCCCGCCCGCACGCCCAAACGCCCGCACGCCCAAACGCCCGCCCAACAGCACAAGACGACGACAATATAGCACTTTTTCAAAGTGCGATAAAAATGTTATGCATTATGAATATGCAGAATCAATGTCTTTTCAGAGGCAGAGACAACTAGTTCTGATGCAAGTAGCACCAGTTCTTTTAATATGGCACTACCAATCATAGTACAGGTACCATTAATATATTGTAATATAGATGACATCAATTTGAATGGAGTTCAATGTCTAAGGTATGGAATATACATCAGGATGCTATTTTTATTCTAAAAATTCCCTAATGATTACAACAATTAAGGAAGCAATTCTGAAATTGTAGATTTGAAAGAGCATTCTGATTGATCAGATTCCTTTATCTTAAGCTTGAGAGATATCTAGTTCTCTTCAAGTGATAGTAAAGGTAGAACCCACAATGCTGAAAAAAGAGTTTCATTGCCATTCCCTGGCCATTCGTATCATGTGTATTTTACAATTATTGCAGCAGTTGGTGTGGTATCTGGGGTGTTTGGACTAGTGATCATTATACTTCTCCTGGTCATCATCTTTATGTACAGGTCAGTATCCATACCAAACTCAGACATTCAATATTTTCACATCCAACAATTCATTCAAAGCTTTATGATGTTCCTCACAAAGCAAGTTAATTTCCTTTCACACCATCTGGTACATTTATAAGTACCATAAAATAAGATAAAATTAATAACTTTCGCATCTTCACATTATGAATAAGAATGAAGAAATAAACTTACTTTGTAACAATTGCAGGAGGAACAAAGGAAGAAATGGCCCAAGTTATACAACAGAACAGATCACCAATATCTCAACCATCTCTCATGATATCCCATCAAGTGCACCTACAGTTGAGCCTGTCTACCAGAATGAAGTACATGTGTATCAAAATGAAGTAAATCAATCTGAACATGACAATATATGCAATAAGGAAGTCCCTGTAATTCCTTCTCCCACGCTTCCAACTTATGAAGAAGTAACCATGGATGATAATAAGCCAACAGAGGAAGAAATGAACCAATCCAAACCAACCACTGGTGATGTATATTCAAAGGTGGGGTTAAAGAATAAATCAGGTCAACCTAAAGACAACCGTAATGATGTCACAATTGATGGTTCCCATGTATATCAGAATGATGATATGGTACATGAAAATCAAGACAACAACAGACCCAACTTAGATATAGTATCTCCTCGATATATGAACCATGACATTATCATAGATCTACCCAAAGATGACCCAACAGCCACTGATCAGTTTCCTATGTTAGAGCTGAACTCCATTTATTCTGATAATGATGACTATTCACTGGAACATGAGATCAAACCTAATAATGAAACAAGTATAGAAATCAGAAATGGTAATGACAAATTGAACATTACAAAAAAGAACAACTTTGAAGTGCTTGAAAATTATGGCCAGATCAAAAGATATTAACATATTTCAAAATATTTTATGAGGAAATGTGACATTTGCTCAAACACTTAAGTAACTTCAAGTGGTCATTTAAAACACAAAATACAATTGTAATGTCATAATAATTAATCATAATAAACTGTTTGAAAAACATAAGACTGCTAAATGTACATGTCTCTTTTTAATGTTCTATTATGACCCACTATTTTAGTCTCACCCAACAGATCGAAACAGTGGGACAAAGCTGAGCTTTGGAAAACATGATACTGTCACAGTCATATAGATGATATTATTAGGAATCAAATATGGAATTTACATATTTATTATCATTTCTGTTTTATATGACAGTTTATATCAAAGCTAAAGGTAAATATGAATTATTCCAGCTTCTACATCGATATACATTTGAGGTTAATCGATATTCAGTGATTGTTCATTAAATGCCTTTTAAAAATTCATCTTGACATACAACTCTATTTAACTCAAAGATATACATCTTGGTAATAGTATTCTCAGTTTGGAGAACGAAGTTCATCAGTCTACTGCACGTTACGCCTGCTTTGGACAATTTTGGTATTTTTACATATTGTAGATTTAAATGTCCTCTTTTGAATATCCATAATTTAATTTGGGTGATATTTCTATATTTTTCATAAAATAATTAGCACAGTACACTGATGAACTTCTTTCTCCAAATCGAAACTAGTGTTTTATTGAACCGGTCTACTGAACATTACGCCTGCTTCAAAAAATTTTGATATATTTTTACATCTTGTAGATTCAAATGTCCTCTTTTGAATATTCATAATTTAATTTGGGTGATATTTCTATATTTTTCATAAAAAATTATAGCCCAGGAGACTGTTCTCCAAACCGAGACAAGATGCATGGAGTTTACAAACAGCACATGTACATGATTAAAGGAAGAATTGATTCTAGAAATCAAGGGTGGTATTTCAAATAACCTAATATTGTTTCTCTTTCTAGAAATTCACACTAACAATGAGGAAGAATTCCACCTTCTGAGAGCCTCTGAAGATTATGTAACTAGTGAGTGTGACCACAAAGACAAGGTGTTTGTTAACCTCTCTCAGTGCCAACAAGAAGCCAGAGATCGAAATTGTAATGTGATCAATTGGTCCTCTAGTGATGGCAAATGTAATATAAAACACTGTACCAATCAAAGCATAGATGAAGAGTGGGACTTCAAGTTCACAAAATATACAAGTCCACTGTATGAGGTTCATAGCATAGCATGTGAGTATAAAATTAGAATCCACTGCATATATTTTTTATACAATTCGTGTATGTGATGTGTTTAAAACAATTTGTTAAGGGTGTTATTTTTGAACAATTGAAACATAAATCTCACTAATCTTATGGTAGTTTTTTAAATAGTTGTTCATATCTGGCTAAAAAACTAATTCATGAAACTGTTACAGCAGTTAAATAATTGGCTGTTTCAAATGGTTTAAATAACATTATGGTAAGAAAAACTTGCCTTTAAATACATTTGAGTATAATGTCATACTTCTAACAGATTTCAAAATTAACGAAAATTTCTGTTTTCTCAATTCTTGTACATGGCCTCTGGGGTTAAGGCCTAATATCAAGGGAACATAATTATGTGTATGAAGAAAATGTGTTCACTTTGAATGGACAGATACTTTATATGGATGCTTTGGACAGACTGAAAGAAAGCTTCACTACATTGAACTTCTTTGTTGGGATGAGAAAAGTGGGACTCAAAGGTTTGACTCCAAGGATAGAGGGTGCAACAAAAATAAGTACATTGGCATTAACATGCAAAATGTCACCACCTGCTATTTGTTACAAACACCATTTGTTACAGATGCCAAACAGGATCCACTAAAAGTTGGAGAATATAACAATATGCCCCCACTTCTGGTGGACATAACAACTAATAATGATGATTTGTACTATATACAGCACTATGATACTCATGTTACTTGCAAATTAATACTTATGTTTATGTTCAATTTTAGATCCCTCTACCCCTATATGTAAAGGCAATGTATTTGTCAATCGGAAGACATACAATGATAATAATACTTCTGTTACATCTGAATGTCCTGATGAAGGAGTACAGGAGAAACCTTTCAATCTACATCAATGCATGTCCAGTGCATGTAGTCAGGGTGCCAATGTGTTCATATACAGTTCAAGCACCCGTTTCTGCCAACCTAAGCGGTGCAACACCAAAGCTGATGGTATGTACAACTTGCAGGTTGCAAACATTGATAATGATGATGGAAACCAGAGAGGATATGACATCTATGCTTTATCAGGTATAAAACTTTTTAGGCATTTTTATTTTGATATTTCAACCATCTGAAAACATTTATCATAAGGGAGTAATGCATTGAGAAATATCAGCCAGGCCTCTTTTACCCCAAAAGGACAAGTTCCCTTATGATGATTACATTACATTGAACACATTTACTTTATCCCTGATAGCAACACCTGTGCCTTGGACCACAGAGGGAACAACCATGGGTTTTCAAGAGAATGAACCTACCACCAGTCCAACAGAGGATATATCTAAAGCCCCACATGGATCTGATATTACATCAGGTATGTACTGTGACACCTATACTGTATGAGTGGTATCTAATCCGAGCACTTAATTTGCCAAATGGCCAATACTAACTTTTTTAGAATTTTCATTTTCCGACTCGGCAAGACTGTAAAACATACCTTATTCGCACATTGGTTATTCATGGATTGTCCATCTTAAACTAATTAAATTCATGTCATGACAAATTCGCGTCTCGGATTGGTCCTGTATACAACATGTTATTTCATGTATAGTAACCTTGACCCTGAACAAATAGAGAACAAGGTAAAAAGCTAATTTTGAATAAAAATCAGTTTTCAGAGATTGTTATTTCAGAACCAGTAAAATACACTACATCGGAGATGACAATATTTTCTTCCAAAGAGCCGAACATTTCTGCCAAGATAACAAATTCACAATACACTTGGTTCGGAGACAGCAACACTGACTGTATGTATTTATTCAGACATTTATATTACTTTAAAAGAAACCCCTTCCATTCATTTACACTGCCAATTAACTTAGGGGCACTTTAATACCTTTTTGCTTTACTGAATATGGCATTATCTTCCCTAGTATTTTTACAAGACACGATGCTTCAATACCAATCCAATGTATAGACCCTACTCATAGGTACCTTAACAGAGATTGTCTTGCACCAAATATCTGGATGCCCCCCCCCCCTTATAGAGTAGAGTGGGAACACAAGGGCTTGAAGTAAAAACCAAGCCTGTAACATATATTCATATAATGACCACATAATGTACAATGTAGTTTGCACAACACATAATTTATAATGTAGTTTATATGACTTTGTTACAGTTATATTGATAGCAGTGATTGGTGTACTTGTTCTAGTGATAATTGTGCTGTTAGTCACCAATATTCTAGCTTGCAGGTAAAATATCAATCTAATTCCTCTTACAAAAGGGTATGATACAGCCATGTTCTCTTTAACATGTATTTACATGTATATCCATATGACCAACAGTGCATAAAATTCATATAAACGTTATGTTACTAATTTTTTGCTCTTTGAGCACTTTAAAGTTGGTTTCAGTTGTAATCATTCAGTATGCCTCGAAACAGTATAATATTTCTTTAAAATATTTATGTAATTGTGATATGGTTCCAGGAAACTTAGAGGGAAAAATGCTGATAATGGACATGAAAAAAGTGACAGAAATAATGTGGAAATACAGAATGATGAATATGAGGAAAATGTTGTCAAATCTGATTTAGATCAGGGAAACGTTTACTCTGACATAAAAACTGGTTCCTCCCCTTTAAATCCAGTTATCAACCAATATGAGGAAGTGGCGATGAAAAAAATACCTGAAAATAACTCCACGTCTGAAGTAGGTAAACATGGCGAGTCACGACTCTGTGATTTATATGCTATTGTTAAACCAAAAAGTGAAAGAAAACAATATGACAGCGATAAGAATAGTATGAATGCAGACACAAAAATCATACCATCAGAGAGCGGAACTCTTCAGGATAAAAATGGATCAAAACCAAACAATGTTGATGCAACTAGTACAGGGGACTTCTCTTATGTAACAGCAGATGTGGGATCTGGCTATCTACCAAAACTGGGAAACAATTCTATTTATGACTCTGAATGTGATGAAAATTATGATGTTTTGAAATTGCCGAAATCCTCTTCAAATAAAGTCCATGACAAACAAGTTTCTAGTGATTTATACAATCACTTGAAAAAATGACTGATCAAATACTATTCTTTTTATGAACAACTTCAAAATATTAAAAACACATTAATGAGATTTTCAAGTGTATATTAATGGGATTTTCAAGTGTATATCAAATCAAAACAAATCCTGGTTGTCAAAAAATCAAAGTACTATGTCATATATGAAAACCATAGATGTCATTGTGATATAAAAATTTGTGTGACGCCATCTATCTAAAATTGAAACAATATTTGTACTTATATACAACTGTACCATAATAAATATGTACACACAATATATACACATCTAAGGACCTAGTTAATAAATCGATGACTTGTATATAATACAACATGATGACAATATTGCACATTAAAAATGCGCAATAAAAATGAAAATTGTGATGTAAATATAAACCTTATTGATTGGCTCACCAATGAAAAAAAAAAAACTTACTAGATTGGCAAAAAATGTTATTTTTGCTAATAGTGCTGCCTTTGACCTCAACCTCTGTTGTTCATCTGTGTTCTCCATTGCATCATCTATCTCCAGCTGAGTCTCTTCAAATGCCTCAATCAGTTCATCTTGAGCCTTGTAATAGTCCCTATATCAAAACACAACAGAGAGTATTTAAGGATCTACACTGAACTACTCATACTGCTGATTCCCCTCATATAGCCCCAAGCATGGATAAGTATGGGCCGGTTATATGTATTTGGGAACAAACTTCCAGTGGTATGAGATCTGTAAGAAGCATATTTCAATCTACACAAAGGAAGTTAGAAATTCAAAAAATTCTTAATCGCTGCCGTCAGATTTTAACTTTTTGTGCATTTAGACTACATGCAGTACATCAATCCTAACAATGTGACTTATACAATTTTGAGTCCAAAATGTATCTTTAATGATGAAAGGAAAAAAGAAAAATGATGGTACTTGACACTCTTGGGCAGCTTTCTGTCATCCTTTTGCTTGCCTCTTTTCTTTGAAGTAAACAGACTTAATGACAGCTTCCAACTGTGATCTGAAAGCACAAATTCAACAACATGGAACCTTATTCTGTTAACTCCATTCTCAAGATGGGGATCTGAGATGGAAATAGTCCTGCAATATATTTCATTAAAATATTATTGCTCTGGAATACTATACTAGTATTCTTGGTCTATTTGGTCCATTATAAATATATATCACATCTCTCTTTATATCTCACTATCAAAAGTAGTCCAATTACCAAGTGACTTGTGTTAAATGGACCTCTGTAAGTAGAACGTCTCCTGAGTAAAATACTTAAGAGATACAAAAGATGTTCCACTTACACAGGTTTAATTACTCAGATGCGAGTAGGTAGTTACCAGTTTCGCCACCAGGTGGCTGATTCGGGGGAATTAACATGGCAGGGTATTACAAAATTCCCTTAAACTTGAATATGCATCAGTTTTAATGGTTCACTTTTCATATTACCTTTATGTATCTGATAGTTATACAAATTAAAATATGCCCAGTAAAAGAAAATATTATCTGCCCAATACAAGAAAAGATATTTCACTTTTTGTGGTTTTACAACATGGGCTCTATGGGGAATCTCCCCGACCTAGAAGTCACATTTTCAAAGAAAAATAAATTTTCAAAGTTGATAAACTCTTTTCAAAACCACATCTCTAAATGTAATCTTACATTTAGATTCCAAATATGACATCGGATTGACTGAATTGTGAATTTTTAATGACGTAAATCAAGAATATTTCTACTCGCATCTGGGATATTGTATTTTCAAATGGACCATTCCCAATTTTCAATTCACTGACACAGTTTGTCATGTCAAATTCAGTTTTTTATCCTTGTTTGCACTTTAATAGAGTTCAGAATTGTTGACAATATTGATGTTGAAAACACACCGAACAAAGCGTTTGCAAATGCAAATAACATCTACCAGATTAACCTATAAATTTTCATAAATTAACCAATCATTTCAATGTTGTAACAACCTGTTAGTCGACGATCAATGATCAGTGATCACATGACTTTTTATGCCACTGTTAGGATCGATTTAGACTAAACGCTTAGTTGGCGAACAGATCGAAGGTCATTGTTACTTGCTGCTAAATAGGCAAATTAATTCGTTATTTGGGTCAGCAATTTCATTTGACCCGAGAGATGGCAGCTACCGGGATGCACCACAGGCACTTTTCATATTTAAAATAATTGTAAGTTAATCAACATGTGACTTGAGATATACAATCAAAACACATTTCCAAAAATCGTCAACATTCTAGACTATCATTGGAACATTTCGTTATCAGAACATTTTGGGGTTACCTCTCTTTGGATTTTGGACTATTTGATCAATACACCAACATACATTTAGGCGCACCACAGATTAGACATTCACCATATTATTGTAACTCATTTTGAATTTAAAATAGATTTTTATGAAACAAAGTTGATTCCATGCATAAGTCTGTCTTCACATTCTGTTATCTTCTGGATCTTCATACAGCTTACCTTCAATTTCATGCTCACTTTTTGTCAAAAATGGGTCACTTTCAACTTTTCCGTCACATTTTGTAACAAGAGTTTCTAATGCATCCATCATTATGACTTGGTCTCAGTAGCTTATATCATTCGAACAGAAATTCTCATACCTTATATTGGTTTTATTCAATACATTGCTTAAGATATAAATGATCGCTATGATGTTTATAAAGTCCACATCTGAAATATCTCTGTGTCTATTACCTTTGCACACACTTTGATTAAGCACATGTAATATTGTTCTACATATAATTGGTGACTAATAAACAAACTCTGCAATATCAATTCTCTAAAACACATTATGAAAGTATTATATCTTGTTTTTTACTCAAATGATGAAAGAGAGACATCTTTTTTCATAGCAATTTTATGTATCATTTTTATATTGATTTAATCACAATTTGATCTTTGGATACACAAACATGTATACAAAGTCAGTAAACAAAGTATACATGTAAACAAAGTATACATGTAAACAAAGTAACTGCACTCTTTGCATAAGGAAAATAAGTTTCCCCTGTTAATTTCCTGAGATTCAAAATTACGTATTTGGATAATGTCTAAGCAAATGGCTATATCTACATACCATCTATGAAACTAGTACTAGAAGGTGCCACCTCCTGTAAATGAATGTGCCTCTTAACATGACTGTCCAGGGTCAACTGGGAGATTGTGTGCCCATTGGGTTTACCATCTTCATTGGTCACAGTTATCTTGGGCTAAAAAATAAAATATATCTGATATTAGACAAAACGGATGGGTGATGTTTAGGAGAAAGGTGAGGGGGGTGGTCTTTGATAATTTAAATTTAAGGTATTGCCTTTAAGATTTTGTAGGAACAACCCAACAATTGGCTCTGCCAAGACAATGGTACCTATTTCACAGAAAGGTCAAATTATCACAAAGCATTTAGACAAAAAGCTTCAAAATGAAGGATTTTTTGCCAGTGTAACACCTCAAAAATCATTTGTTACAAAGTTTTTTTCATTTTTTGGAACTCAAATCCAATTACAATGCCAGCACATAGAAAGTTCCATTATTAAGCAGCCATATTCTACGAAACCATTGCTTCATGGGTGTCATTCATACTGAATTGAACTCTGGATTTCAGGGAACACATCATTACTGGAAGGAGAGATCTCTATTTCCAATAATGCTGTCTGTTCATTAAATTAATACATATGACATCCAAAGTTAGACTTTGCCTATAAAAACAATAGACGATTTTTGGTATCAATTTAACAATGTGTACTTAAGTGTCTTAAGTCTCAAGGGGTATTTCAAAACAATTTACAACATGTAACATAGTCTCAAAAGGTATTTCAAAACAAGATATTTCACATGTAATATAATGTTCAGAGATGCAATAGCATATGTTTCATTACAGGTCATTCACATAGCAGATCTGTCAAAATTAAAAACAATAACAGGCATATATCATAAGAGAAAAAAAACTGGGTCACACTGACATGAACTTGCAGTATTGTTATTTTCAGACAAAAAATTCAGTAGCATTTTGTAGCCATGTGTTATCATAAGTCAATGTTGATATGTCTATAATTGTTGTAATAAGATGAGTTTGATTAAAGTTTAAGAGAAGTAATTTTTTAGAATTTCTAGGATGAAAGGCCCAGGATTTTTTTGGGCAAAAAATATAGGGCCTTAACTGGTAGACCTTTTGGGTATTACATGGTCTTTTTGGGCCTTATTTTTTAATTTTAGGCCAAATCATAAATAAGTGCCTTAAATTTTCTGACATTTTTTCTGAATTGAAATGTCATATGTTAGCTTCTGGATCCAACAGAGGTTTTATATCTTATGAACAGGCTGATGTAAGAATGGTATGAAAGTAAATATTTACAGTTTCGTGGAAATGATCCAAGCTATTCAGACTTGTATAGGCATAGCCATATTATAAAGAAGAATACATTCACCAAAATAAAAAAAATCTACATGGGTAATGGAACACCACTGCCTCTCACTCTACATAGGAGGAGGTATACATAACCCATACCAATAAACCATACCTTACCACACCATACCATACCAGACAAAAATTAAAAGCCACTTCAGAAATATAGAGATTGTAAAAAGTTTTAAGATTACAAAAATGAACAAAAAAGTAATAATCAGAGCATTCAAGCTTCATTAAAACTATTCCCTCCTCAAAACAACATCATTCACATTCCAACACCATACCAAAGATGCCTAGTCTTTCATTTCAGACACAAAAAGACACACATTCAATTCTTCCAACTACTATTTCAAAAAAAAGTTTGGTGTGTAAGAAAAACATAAGAAAATAATGGTCTCCTCATTGGTTTAGACTGCGACCTATGTGAATATATTGTATTAAACATACAACAGGAAGACCATTATATCTGTATGGGACCAATCTTTGTTGATGGGTGGGGGGGGGGTTATAGTGCCAATATCCCTCAGGAGAGTGTCTACCTCCATTTAAGGACCAATACCTTGCTACAAACAGTACTATTCTTTACCAGAATACCAATACCAGAAACTGTATTTCATCTAAGGCTTACCACAAGTGTCAGGGGCAAATCCTTTTTGGGAATCTGAAAGATAATGTGTTAAGTATTTCCACCAATGCTGCTATGTAATCAATCAGCTGTGTAAAGAAGTGAAATACCCTCAGACCAAGGACGATTATGGTGGTCATCACATACTGTTAAATAAACCAGTGTATTCCTTCAATCATAACTTGATGGTTCAAGATGGGTCATCATGGGCTTTGAAGCGACTATTGCCTCTAAAAATCCTTTGTAGACTGTTGCCATGTTGCATTGTGGCAATTCTGTGAACTCTTTTTATTGGAAAAATATGCCTAGTCAAGTTACACATCTTATTACAAATTTAACTGTACTGTTTGATCAGAGGATATTAAAAATAAAATGAAACGGTTGAATGCTGTTCAAACAACCATTTGCAGTTTTTAATATTGGATTAACACATCCAGATGAAGATGAATCTAATAATACACATCTTAATTCACATCCAAAGTGCATCTATCAAAGACATTTTTGAGATAAATCTTAACGTAAAATATCTGTATTAAGATTTATTTTAAAAATGTTTATGATAAACAAACTTTGAAATTGAGTACTACCAGAGAGACAAACATATATTCTCATAAACAAGACATAGCTTCTCAAATGTTAAGGGTGACTTACACATATTCTTAAATCAGTACATCTTAATTTAGAGGCCATTTTAGATGGCTCAACCCCAAAAGATGATAAATACTAGAGATCTGCTCAAAATTAACGCAAATTGCCCCATTTAGGCAATTTGAGATTTTCCAGACATAAATCTGAAAGACAGTAAAATATTTGGGATCTACTCTTATTACAATATATGATATATACTTCTAATAGATTTAAAAATCCTAATTTCAAGACCCTATAACCAAGCCCCTGGAATTGCATTGAAAAGCATTCAGTAAAAATAAATAGATATGTTTTAAATACATATGTATATAAAATGTATGATTTCAATGAGAAACAATCATTTTTGGTTGTAGCTTTATACCATGATACATCTTTCTACCAATATGGAGGCTATTGGTAAATCAGTAGTTATAGCAAGACAGATGTATGGAGGGCTTCAGCACATGTTCTAAAATTGAGAACATATTTACTTTTAATTTAAGATTTAACTTGGGTCAATGTACAATGATTGTAACCTTTATATCAGAGACTCCTTGATAATGTATCAAATGCTATCAGGTCTAATTTTAACAGGAGCAAGATTATATTAGCATTACATTTTAATTTGCAATCAAATTAAAACCAATCAATGAGAAACTATTTTGAATTTCAGTACAAATTATCACTTAAACTTTTTAATACACATAAGTGCTTGTTTACTATCTAACTGGTCTTGCAAAAATGAGAGCATATCTCTCTCATTAAGTTAAAAAAATATGTGTTTTGCGAGGATTAATAAATAGTACCATGGGTACTGGGCTCATTTTTTTTCAAAAATGGATCACTTTCAACTTTTCCGTCACATTTTGCTTCAAGTGTTTCTAATGCATCCATCAAGCTTATGACTTGGCTTTAGCAGATTATATCATATGAACAGAAATTCCCATACCCTATATTAGTTTTATTCAATATATAGCTTAAGATATTAATGATTGCTATGATGTCTGAAATACCTCTGTGATTTCAGTCTAATTGATGATTTGCGATCACCGAATGGATTCTGTCTTTTAGTGACGTCACAATTAGGTCACACAGCTTTAGATGCTTGATTTTGAGAGATTATCTTCTATATTTCGTGCTTTATTGATTTATTTTTCACGAAAGCGTTCTATTTGACTAGATCAACATTCATGCTAAGCACATACCAAGTCTAAGGTCTTACTGACATGATTTAGATAGCGGTTTAGCGCCCCCCGATTTTGACAAAAACGGGGGGCGCTTATAGGCATCGATGTTTAGTATGAATTTCACCCAAACTTCGCATATATATAGACATACTCATGATCTAGTCAAATAGGCATACCTGGTAAATATCCGACCCATGGTTTTTATATAAGAAACGACAATATTTTTAGCTCAAAACTGCCACGTGTCCGCCATTTCGTGATTCCATCATGTCTAATATCATTTCTATATGACGTCATACCAATAAGACGAAATACGTGACAACAGTATCCATAAACAAAATTCCTGAATTCTGATCGCAAAAGGTCAATTGACAGCCATATTGACTTCAAAAACTCATTGGTATTTCATATGAGAACACTGTTATTCGAAGCAATAATCCCTGAGTTATAGAAAAAGTGAATTTTCCGCTACCAAAAAATGGTGGCCATTTTGAACAGATAGTCATAGGGAGCTTTCATGTATTCACAATTAACAAAAGTAATCTAAAACTAGCATTGTATCAACAGAGGTTTTAAAACATGCCACTATTGTTAACAGACTGACAGACAAGTGAGTGATTGCAATAGCTCATTATGTGATGTGAGCTAAAACAAATTCATGAATCATTAAAAAAATATGAAAAAATTAATATCAATCATCTGCATATGATGTCAGCCATACAAATATCAAACAATTATAAATATCAACATACAATTAGATAAGATGACATCCAGATGTCTGTAGAGCAATTATCAAATACACATTCTTTTGATAAAGTACTTCAATTTAATGTAAATATGTTTACATAGAATTATCAAAACATTAAAGCAAAACATAAGATCCTGAAAGAATTAGAGCGAATAATGAATATTTTTTACAAAACAACTAAATATATAGATATATAGACACAGAATATTTTTTCTTAAAACGTTAGACCTCAAGATCTCATGACTGACCTCTAAATAACCAGACATTTTTTGTAAGTAGTTGATAAGTTATCAAATGAATACACAAAATTGACTTTATACGTGTTAATAGGATGCAATTACAAAAAATATTTTACCTGCAAAAAGTACTCAGACACACTGAATAAGCATCATGATAATCCATGACATCTCATTTCTTCTCAGCCCTGAGATGCCATGATATAATGAGCTTGATTTGGCGATCTAGGAGAGCCCAAAATTGAGGATTTTTGAGATCTTTCATCCCAGCTCATATTTCATTTAATTGGGGTCATTAAACGTGTGTACCTGTGCTTGTGCTAATATATGCTGTTAAATACAATGCCTATTATGTTATGTATTGACATTAAGGTAGATGATTACATGATAACAGTCACACTTATAACTCTTCCCATCTGATGTGCTCAGATCACAGAATATGCCTCATAATATCAGAGCATGTTTCAGGTGAAACAGAAAGATGCTATGAGTATCAGAATGCTGAATAAGACACACATAAAGATGTCAAAAATGAATAACCCCATTTTACTCAACTTATCCCTTTTAAAGTCCATTCAATTATTTTTTATGTGAAACACACAAAGTATGCTTAAGGATTCATACCTTTTTGTTGAGATGGTCCATACTTTTTGTCTTAGTTTGATTATTCGTATACACAGCTTCGCTTGAGTCAAAATCTTGTAAATGTGGATGAGATAAACTTTTAGTCTGAAAAAATGTCAAAAATCAATATAAACACAGAGTTCGGTTCTTCCTATTTTAAGATACATTATTTCAACATATGGTTGAAGACATCATGGATGAATCTTTGTATAATTTCAAAATTTTAAACTGTCAATTTTTTACAAAGGAAACGAAAATAAATACACTATATGATTTACTCACTTTGTGCATATTATAGAGTGTTGGAGAACTGTGTGAGGTGATCTGTCCGTTACATATTGCCTTCTTATCAGGCACATCAGTGTCATCATCACCTAATAGGTGATCCCTATCAGAGTCTTCTGGTATATCAAGGACATTAATAGGCGGTGGTATCCTATCTACATTGATGTCATGTTGAGGTTCTTTAGGCCCTATAGGGAGAAGCGTGTCTCTTTCACCATGTTCGATTTCATTTCCTTCAGAGACTGGCACATCTGGGATTCCCCCTTTATCTTCAGACATATTGGGAGAGTAAGAAGTGTAATGCGTTCTTATTCTCTATTTGTAGTATTCTTACAATCAACTGTATATGACTCCATGTAAAGAAAATAAGACCTAAAACAAAGATGTTAAGATACTGTAGCAATGACAGACAACCTTAGTACAATTTCCTCAGTTAGTAATACATGACTGTATTCACGCCTTCTATAAACATTTCATCTGGGGTATATTCGCAATGAATACCCCTGGTAATACGTGTAATGTGACGTCATAACGACGGGTAGTAGTAATGGCGGACCATAATGAATATTCAAAACATTTGTGAGTTTTCATGTTCAAATCGTAATAAAGACCTCAGAGCAGGGGTAATATCGTCAAATAATCGAAAACGTTTGTACCTAGCCCTAAGGGGTTGTATTTGACGTCATTCGTGTGCAATATGAATATATTTTTCTATATATTATTGCACAATATTATTTAGATTTCTTATATTTCAGGTTTAACTGCTTGCCCTTGAGCAGGAAGCAGTGTAACAGACTGTAGTCATTATTTATGTTCACCACTTTACATCAATTATTTTGTATCTATCAGCACTGTAGTCCTGGTCTTGAGCAATAAACCTAGAAACACAATCTCTCCACATTGTATTGTTTTTCTTGTAAAGCTTGGAAACAATTGCACCTGCAGCCCAACTTGTGCAAGTACAATTGAGTGAATTGACTGTGGTGGATTGAATTTTTTTTTCCTTTTTTACTCTTGACTTGAGTTTTGTCTTCTCATTACCGATTTTGAACTCCACTTTGGAATCAGTAAATTACCAGAATAACGTCATATGTCGGACAAGAAATTGTAGATTTACGTGAAAAGACACTAGAGCTGTGTAATTATGCACTTATGAGTTATCACAAGCCATAGGATATCAGAAAAAACTGTCAAAACTTTACTCACCTGAAATTATCCAAAGTGAAAATTGAAACTAGGTCAATGTAGCCTCGTTTTCAGTTACACTGAACGAAAAAGGTTTTGAAAGATTTAATGTGTCACACTTTCCAGCACCGGGATGCAGCATACCTTTAAGGTTCACCGTTATTAAGACAATGGATAGTGTTCTATGAAAGTGATATTCCATTATAGATGATCAAAATATAATTGATATATGAAGGTCACAGGTATTTCAAATATAGATTGGCCTACCACCCACCCCACAAGGATGAAATTGAATTACCTTTTTTGAACCACAGTCAGCTCTATCTATTATAAATTTAATATAATAGACTATAGTCTATTCTAATAACTGAATTATGAATGGTAGTGCTCACCTCGCCATTTTCCTTTTATTAGGCTTCAGGAGGTCAAACATAATTCAATAATGCCATACTACAACTATATTACTAGTATAGTATGCCACTTGTAAATTGTTTTTGTTTTTTAAAATCATCTTTTAGTTACCATGAGTTACCACTAGGTATATCAAATTGTAATAGGTGATCACTATGTTTTTTAAATGCCCATTGAAAACCGAACAAATTCTTAAATTGAATAGAGATATTGAACTAATCACTGGAAACCAATCTCAGTTCAGGACCCAGATGGACAAAATAAACCTTTACTTATTTGCTCACCCTTCACTTACTCAGGAACAAATTGACAATCTTTTATCAGTGGTGAGTTTATTTCTTATTGAGCATGCATAGATACATGTACTTGGAAGCTTGTCTACTATTGTTCTCAGTCTTACCACTCCTATCTCTACTGCTCTTCTCCCCTTGTTTCCTTCTCTTACATTATACTGTAGTACCATGAAGTCTTCTTTGTAATAATGACATATTTAGTTATTTCCATTGTAATAAAGTATCATATGCTCTTTGTTATATCATGTGACAAAGTGCTTTGCTTGCTATAGGATAAGATTCAACTAAATATATTTGGCCATTAGGTATGCACTTTGTGATGTCATAAGAGAGAATTATTATTAAATTATGCTAAAATGCTGTCTCCTTTACTCTGTTTCTAAAAAAACGAGTTTGAAATCTTTTTGTTTATTCAGTGCAAACAAGAGGTGGATTCAAAGAGGTGAATGCAGGTGAATGTATCAGGACTATTTTATGAGTCATTTTTAAAGGTTGTAGTGCCTCCAAAAAAGGTATGTAGCAAAGTCTATCCATGGTGCATTTCAAAGGTTATCTTGAACATTTAAAATGTTGGGAGTTTAGGGCCCTGTAATATCCAAGTAATGTTTCCACTCCATTAATCAACAAACACATTCATGTTCATTTCAAACTGCAAGTAATTAGTTTTTTATTACAGTTTCTCTTTGTAATAGTTCTTTGCATCCTTATAGATAAATCACATTTCACTCTATCTCTTAAATAGAGAGCACTTTGCATTTTGTGCCTCTTGCGTAATATTGCACCGAGCATGGGCGATGCCCTGGACAATATATCAATAACTCTATTATATTTTTTTTTATTAAATAACACTGTCACCCAACACAACAACGTGGTTCGTGACATCACATACAGCAACCACATATAAAACATTCTGAAATTTTTCTCAAAAAAATAAATTCATTTTTCGAGTTCATATTTTCTTTTCACTATATATTTTGCATATAAGTTATGTCCATATTGCAACAATGTATGTTGTGTATAAGTATATGAGAAAAGTACTGTACAGTTTTATATATATATATATATATATATGTTCCCCTTTAACATCTTAACTAACAATAGTACACAGGAGATCAATACATATTTGACATGAGCAAGTTATAATTTTTGTGTAAACATCAAAATAATTCTATCAAATTCAACACTAAAATGGATACACATTTAATACTCTATTGTCTGATTGGCAAACTGAACCGTGTAATAACATTATCACTATCAATCAAAACAATTTTCGACATAATAAAAAAAATCTAGCAAAGTGAAGCTCTATGCTTCAGTTGATATGTCGTCATCACATGAAGGTCTGTCTCGAATTTGAACTAGGCATGATGCAACAGTCATTACATTTCCAGTATACAGTACTTATATGACCTAATAATTATTCCCATCTCAGATTTCAAACCAAACTAAAAGATAAAAATAAATGAAAATTACATAACATTAAGGTTTGATAAAGGAGACAGGTTCTAGTTTCTAGCAGATGATACATATTAACATATTCTAACTCTATTCCATCCCATAATAACAATAACGACAAGTTTCTGGTTAGAACACACATGACCACATTATAGGATAAACACCCATCCATGCTAAGCTCCCGGGTTGCATTTTTATTTTTATTTTTTAGAGTTTTCTGCTTATTATTTATATGGAGAGCGAAGCAGGAAGGATCATCCCCTGCTGAGAGAAGTATAACTAAAACTATTAGCTATATTCTAAGTCCTTATTCCAAGCTTGGATAACATACAAGAAGCTTGTTGTGAAATGTTTCAATAGCACAATGCTTTACAGTGCCCAGTGTTGGTGACTAGGGTCCAGCGGTGCACGTGTAATCTAGTACGCTAGTGTTTGCGACTAGGGCCCCATGAGACAGGTGGTTTGGTAGGGGCTACCTGGGACATCTCAGGGAATTCCTCATCATTATCCAGGTCGGGAGCAGCTGAGCTCCAAGGGGCTCCAGCAACAAAGTAGCCTTGCTGTTTCTGTTTGTTTGACTTGTCATCTTGCCTCTTTGGGGCAGTGTACTGCTCCATCATTATGGAATCATTGATATCTTGAAGCTGAAATAACAAATAATAAAATTTAAAAAAAGATTATTAATGCTAGTTCCATAACATGTGTATCCATTTGAGGAATTTAATTAGGCCTAATTGATGGTCTCAAATATTCACATATTCAGCTTCTGATCTATACACACCAGCTAATATGATAAAATCAGATTTAAATGAATAAAGATTTTAGTGAAAACAATAAGACTCATGAATATCTCCTAAGCAAATGATTGGATCCAATTGAGTTGTTAAATTTAAGTTTAACAAGTCAAACATACATATTCTTCCTCGAGCAGAAGCAGTTGATCTTTGCAGTCTTCCACATCATCCTCAGCTCCAGACACAACCACGATGTTCTGATCAGCTGCTGAAGCTGGAGGGAACTTGATATCTACACGATAGTCATCCATGATCTTGCGAATGTTACGTCCCTTGCCACCAATTAGACGACGGTGAACACGGCTATCAATAGACACCTCTACGGAATACATGTCCTCCTGTAAGATTATAACATACATGAGTAAAACAAAGAATGTGAATGAGCATAACATGTGGTGGTGACATAACATGCAAAATGGGAAAATTAGATAAATGAATTAATAATTGTTGATAAACAATACAATGCATTTAATAAATAAGCCTACCAGATCCTTCACAATCTTCAAAATGTCAGCTTCTGCAGCTTTAGCATTCTCTTCATAGCCGGTGATGGTGATCACTTCTTGTTTCTCGCTGCCTCTATCAGGGAACTGAATATTAACATCATTGTCCGTGCGAATCTTGTTGACAACAGCACCGCGACGTCCAATGATCTTTGGGTGATAAATTGGGTCTACCGTTACATCTAGCTGGAAACTTTTCAGTTCCTAAAATACCCAGAATGTAGATGTTTCATTATCATAGTATAACGGATAACTTTCAGATATATATTACACATGTAAGGCCTCAACACAGCATAGGCCCAGTCATACAGTTTTGCACCAATCTTAACTCCTTTCAAGTGGTTTTTGGCCAACATTGTCAAATGTGAAACCCCTGGAATTTTTTGAAAAGTGAACCCCTTTGGCAAAAGTGGATTACAGGCCTGCACAGTAAGTTAGTAACAACACACAATGACAATAGCTATGCATTCTACCAAGAACACTCTATCCACACCGATTTCTCTCTCAATGTTATATTCCATTTGTACACTACACCTGGAATAATTTAACAATAGAAGACCAATATATTAATCCAATAGTATAGAGCTCTCAAAGATTATCCGTAATCTAAATGCAGGTACAATTATTACATATACCCAATAACAATACCATTGGATTAAGGATTATGACCAGTACAGTACAAGTAGATGTTATTATAGAAATTCTAGAAACTTGACTAAGATGTGAATAAAAAGTGAGTTGGTGCAATAAGGCTGAGGCTAGAAGATGGCCATTCAAATTAGCAACATAAGTAAAATATTTGCCTCTCCAGGTATATACTTGACTACAATAATATGCTGGCAAATAATTTTTTTTTTGAAATTTGATGGAAAAACAGGATGTCTGAAAACAAGTAAAAGACATCACAGAGAAATATTCCATACTAATAGAATTGACAAAAGAAAATCAAACATTGTCATTGAACAAGGACATCTTCCACGGCTTCTGGAGGAGACAGAACAAGGAACACCAAGAAAGACATTAGTCTTAGGAAATCATAAACCGCATCAAGCACCAAAACTGTTGACAATTTTTACAACATTTTCTGAGCATGACAAATCAATGTTTGGAATTCAAAATAACACAATTTGCAATTTTGCACATTTTCCTGGAAAGATTACAAATCTGGTTGTGTTTGTGACTGAAAGTTTCCATCAGAATCGTCCAATCAAATGTTCACATACCTGTTTGAATGACACAATATGTGATACAGTACATCCGAAGTGGAGCATTATTCATCTTAACAAAACTCTTATGCCAAATGGCAAGAGACCAATCCTGAAATCAATGTTTCTTGAAGTACAGCGGCAGTTTAGTTCAGAGTTTTATATGTACACTAACAATGACATCTTGTTTCACACTGACAGACTGCTCAACAGTCTGAAAACCATCAGTGTGCATACAAAGACTGAGAAAATGAAGAATTACCTCATAACTGGAGGTAGAAGAAATGAGAAATTCTACGATCCAACAAAACAAGCTACAAAAATCTTAAAATCTGGCAAAGATGATGAAATAATGCAAATAAGCAGAACAGCACAAAAAATGAACGGAAATGATAAGGAATATCTTATCACAGGGAGGGACTCGTTTCCCTGGAAATCAATTCCAAACTTTGTGATTGGTGCACCATTTTACGCAGATTGGCTGATCCTATACTGCAACAAGCTATATACTGCAACATTTGATGTGTCATACACTACAATGGCTATACACCAAGAAGGCCAAGAGCTTGCTGATAAACACACGCAAATGACAACCAGTCTCGACAACATCAATGCTGATATCTTCAAACGCTTTGTTAAACATGAATATAACATAAAACAAAGTAATTTGAAATGTTGTACCTACAGAACATTGTTTAAGAAGGATTTCAGATTTTATGTACAGAAAAATCCATTGTTCATTTCAAAAAACTGTATTTTGAAAGACATGCAACTTCCTAATCCAGGTTGAAACACATGCTCAAAATGTTGAGAATAATTGTTTTTCATGTGGAGAACAATTGTTTATTGTCATGCTGACAAGTGTTTTTCATGTAGAAAACTAGTGTATATTGTGTAATGTAAACATTAAATGAATATTCAGACTGAAACAAAATTAAAATGTTTTTGATCTGTCAAAAGTACATATTATATATGCACAGCTATTGTTAGTAATATTAATTTTTCGCTTCTCTCTTCTTTTGAACGCAATGAAACATTTCTCAGGTCTCAGCATTTACTTACAATACAAACAATTCACTCACAAATACACCATAAAAAAACACACACACATTACATAGAGCTTTCTTAATATTACTCACTCTGTCTTCCCTCTCCTTCTCCAGAACTTCAATCTTCTCCAAAAGAGCAGCCTTGGCTTTTTCCACAGCAGCTGGTGCGCCACTGACCTTTACTACCTCAGACTTAGCCATGGCTGGGGGGATGGATATGCTAACATCAAACTCTTCCATCATCTTGCGCACATCTCGTCCCTTCTGGCCAATGATGAATCGATGGAAGTCATATGGTACCATCACCTCTTCAGTTACTGGGACAAGGTCCTGAAAAATTGGATCAATTTCTGATGTCAACAATTTATGGAGACCTTATTGGAATAATATATCCAAATATATGTGACTCATCAATGACAAACAGCATGAAACTCATAATTTATGAACTTTATCTACTTGTAAAAGTTGCATTATATTCATCCGAGATCGAACTTTAAGTCATGGGCTGGGTACACAAATATATCCCAAATCTAAATGAGAGAAATGTGAATTAACATCATATACAAGTGGTGAATGTCATATCAAGTGTTTTTGTGTACAAGTTCTGCTGTACCTTGAGAGCTTGACTAGCTGCCTCACATTTTTCCTTCTGGCCAGTGATGAGGATAATGTCACACTTGCGTGGTGTGGCGACATCACCTTCACTGCTGACAGAGTTAGAGTCACCGTTGACAGTTGGCTCCTCACCATCTACACTCTCAGCCGCTACATCACCTGTAAATACACATTTTAATATATGTTTGAAATACATAATTTTTTTTGTCTTTTTTGATTAAGTTATTATCTCAAGATCGGTAAATAAAAATGGAAAAATCGATACCTGTTACATTTAAGCGATTGCAAACAAGAATGGTTTCTCAGTTTCAAGGTCAACGCTTATTGGTTAAGGTCATCTTAAGGTCAAAGGTTTATATGTAGGTATTTGGCAGTTTAAGGCCCTCAGAACTGGAGGATTGCTAGTTTCTGTAAAATTGTGATAGAAATATTCCAAGTTTTGAGTTAAAACAAGTAACTTACCATCACCACCACCATTCTGGGCAGGGGGAGGGATAGGTCTATCAGGGAACTTGATGCCAACATCATGGTCCTTGGTGATTTGTTGCACCTTTGAGCCCTTGGCTCCCATCACTGTGCGGTGATACTTCTGCTCAATGACACACTCAATGGTCACTTGGGAAGCCTGGAACATACAGAAAAATCAAGGTGTAAAATATAGCCTACAGTGGCATTTGAACCTGTTTGTATGAGGGATTATCTTATGTTCAATTGCCTCACTCACTCACTGACCTGGAAAGGTCAATATGAAATATAATAACTCAAATAAATTTATTAGAGGTATCATTACCTTTATTTTATAATATAACTGGGCAAAGTAATAGTATGGGACAATAATAAAATGTCAAACCAATAGTAGCTTTTCACCTGATAAACAAATAAAGTGAATCTTACCAGATCACTCACGATCTCAAGAATGCGATCCTTTGCTCCCTCTACACAATTCTTGGCCCCCTTCAGTACGACTCTGTCACTCTTGACCCCACTACGTGGGAAGCTGACAGACACACCACCAAAGTCTTCTTCAATTTGACGCAGAACTTCACCACGACGTGCGACAAAGTGTCGATGGTATTTGCTATCAACATTGATTTCAACTTCAGCAACATTCTCCTACAAATCAGATTTATAAATTTCAATTACTAGGGATTTCATACTATTTTAAGACAACCTTTACTCAAATACAGATAATTAGTAGATTTCCAGAAAGGAAACATAGATTAATTCTGAAATAAAGTCATATGCAAAAATATACCTCTAATTCAAACATTTTCTAGTTCAAATTGGTAATCATTATTTTAATTTTTTTTGTCAACATTCACCTATTACAGGGCGTTCAATAAGTATTGCTAATTTTGCTCTAACTTTTGTTCTGTTTGCTTTTTCTTCATGAAACTTTCACAACATAAGATACACATATACTTTATTCTATCAAAGTTTCAGGACAATCGAGCCAGTACTATTAAAGTTATGGTTACTCAGGTAACCAGTATCATGGATATGCGGGGCAAATTTCTGACGTCACTTTGGACGACATTTTGAGTGTTGAAAGCAGTATCATTTTATGCCGTTTAACTCTTGGGATATGCAGTGCAGTTATAAATAATCCGTTCCAGAGTCACTTCATGATCCATATTAACTTCTGAGGTGCTCAAAACAGGCAGGTACCCTTAACAATGCCTTAACGTCAATGCACAGTTGCTGTCTGGCGACCCACTCTTGGTACACATTTTTGAAGCCACCCTTAAAGTGTGTGGTTAGGGAGGTGTTCGCTGCAGTTATCAGCTGATTGAGGTTCTGGTGCGATATTCCCCTCAGATCCCTTTTCACTGAGGCAAATACAACAAAATCAAGAGGGGCCTTATCTAAAAATATGCTACGTGGGGCAATGCTTCCACGCTAAGCTCTGTTATTGTATTTATATAGGAGAGTAGAGGATCTGTGAGCAGGGGCGTTATCCTGGTGGACCGTATATGTCGATATTGCTCTTCGAGGATGTTGAAGTGTGGCTAGGGATGTGCAGTGTTCACTGCAGACATCCGCTGATTGAGATTCTAGACTCTAGTGCAATATTCCTCTCAAATCTCTTTTCACCGCTGTTAGATAATACATATAATTCAACTGACAACATCAAGATTTGACCATATCAACTGTTTTTATTCATCAAAGTGTTTATTTGATGTATAACAATAATTCATTATGTAAACCCTTAAGGTTGCCCCACGTATCCTTAACAATGGTTACCCTAGTAACCATAACTTTGTCAATTCTAAGTCGGTTGTCCAGAAATTTGGATAGAATAAGGTCAGATATGTGTTGCTTATGTTGTAAAAGTTTCATGGAGAAATATGCAACATTACAAAAGTTATAACAAAATTAGCAATACTTATTGAACGCCATACAAGCCACAAAACATGTTAATTTACACATGATGCAAAAATAACTGATTACTCTTACCAGTTGCTTGATAAGGGTTTCGAGTTGAGCTTTTGCTGCTGCAACTTGGTCTTCCTTCCCGATGATGACAATGGTTTCCTTATCTGGATCATCATTTGAAGGGAAAACTACCCGAGCTCCTGTATTGTCCCGAACCTTTCTGATGTTGACTCCACCTCGACCAATCAGGAACTTGTGGAAATTTGGCTCCGCTTTCACCTCAGCACTGTGGCTTGACTCTTTCTGTAAATCAAATAACAGTTCTTTTACTCAGCAGGAAAATGAGGGAAAAATAAATCATGAATTGTAACAATAAGAGGACTGAATTCCAGTTTATATTACCCTTTGTGCTGAACTCACTAAATTACTCTTAAATTTCACCACTCAAATCAACAGCAATTTTGTCTCATGTTTAAATAAGTTAATGTACAGTCAGCATAAGCAAACTGCAAAATGATTGATCCAAGTTAGAGGATAGTGTAATACTGTAGGTGTTTACACCAAAATTGGACATTGTTAACTAGATAACGGCAACTCCGCGGAGTAGCAAATCCCAACGAACAAAATATCAATTACCGAATTCCAATCAATTATACTCATTACTTTGGTTAAAATTGAAAAAATTAGATTTTAGAATTGTGAATTCCTGCAAAGCAGCCATTTTGAATTTTATGAGGTACAAATCTGAAAAATAATACCATAATTGTGATCTACTCCAAAATTCCTTCAATTTGAGTATAATAAAGCCATACTTTGAAGGGATCGAAAAATTATTGCAAAATCGTAGATTAGACGGCCATTTTGAATCTTACGAGGCTCAAATAAGAAAAAAGATACAATATTTGCAATCTACTCTTAATTGCCTTTCATTTGAGTATAATAAAGCTATACTTCAGAAAGATCTAAAAATTAGCGAAAATTTCTGTTTTCCTGTCCCCCCCACACGGTCCCTGGGGGTCAGGATGAAAAACACGGAATATATGTGAAATAGATGAATGTTCTGAATATACTACCAAAATTTCAAACAATAATATTAATTACTTTGGTTTAGAATGAAAAATTTATGATTTTTGCGAAAAAGTCCCGTCATTTTTAAAGTGGCAGCCATCTTGAAAAAAACTAGTATTTGAGTTATCTTCCGGACAGACGGACGGACTGACTGACTGACTGACGGATGGACGGCTTCACTATATCCCTACCGAACTTCGTTCGTTGGGATAATTACCTTATCAGCAGCTCTTTCCTCCAGTTCAACTCTTGCTCTCTCTACATCCTCAATGGGGCCCCGGATCACCACCTTGTCACTGCTTGATCCCTCTGGTGGAAACCTAATGATGACACCACCGCATTCCTGGGCTATGGCACGAATCAGATGACCCTTAGCACCAATGATGGTGTTGTGGAACTTGTGAGGAATCTCTATAGTAAGCTCTTTGATGTTGGCCTAGAAAATTAGTATTAAAATACATGTATTCAATGATAAAAATCTATTAGATCCTTTATTGGGATTTTGTTGCTGATAACCTCACTACAAAATGATAAACTTACAAAGTGCTGTTATAATTTGTACATGTGAATCAAAAGTATGACATTAAATTTACTTACCAATTCTTTTTGAATTGCTTCAATTTTGACCTTTGCAGCATCAACATTAGCTTTTTTACCCGTAATAACGATGACATCACTATCGCTGTTTTCACTTGGCAGATCAATACGCGTGTCAGTGTCATCACGTATGCGCCTGATGTTAGCTCCACCTTTCCCAATGACATTTTTGTGGAATTGCTTGAATATGTGAACTTCAGACTGGTAGTTTACAGCAATCTAAAATATGAATGTCAACATGATTTAGAGAAATGTTACAAGGGATCCTACTCTGTGTAATGTAATTTAGCAATGGCTCACAAATTCATTTTCAATTTTTCAACTATAACTCTGATATATATCAAAAAAGTGAACCGCATTTTGACAACTATTTTCTCAACAATATTTATAGCACTTTTTAATGATACTCTATAGTTCCTCAACAAAAATTTTCGAACAATTGCCCTTGCCTATTGCTGAGAAAATACTCAAATTAAAAATTGGGTTTGCCTACTTTGCACACTGCATGTCAGGGAGTTTGACATGTAAGTACCTGTTTAGAAGCTTATAGATATGTCAAGAGAGAACATACCATATTGTACTGATTTCTTACCAATTCTTGCTGGAGGTTTTGCATATACTTGGCACACTTTTCAACATCTGTTTTGGGCCCTAGAAGAGTGACAACATCAGTTTTCTTGCCAGGTTCAGGGAACTTCACTTGTACTTGGTTGAATTTATCACGAATCTCTTTGATTTTATCACCCTTAGCCCCGATTATATTTTTATGGAAGCGCTGTTCAATCAGAATGTCCTTGGTACGTTCATTCTCCTACAAAAAAGGCAATGCATAAACATTAAGTAGGGCATGTCCTATGAAAAGTTCAGAGTCAGATTTTCATTTATATTAATTTAGACTAACTAGCAACTCTGAGGTGGTACGATACGAAACGAGTTCAAACTTTTCACACCATTAAAACAAAACAAAGCTGCAAAAATGATTTCTTTTGTGTGTGCAAATAAATCAATCAATTCACGAGGGTATAGTAATTATAGCCTCTCAAAACAGCCAAAAGGCAATGGAAATTGTGGGTGAAGTAAACTTGGATGTAAAAAGTGCATGAACTCACCATTCTCTGGACCATTTCCAGTAGTTTATCCTTAGCTTGTTTCACACCACTCGGGTCCCCCTCGATACGGATAACCTTGCTGTTCTCCGTGTCAGATGGGATCCGGATGGACACACCTGTTTCATTTTTGATTTGCCCAACTGAAAACACAACGCAATGTTCTTAGTTTTTGGTCAGACTTAAACCTCATAAATTTAGTCAGTCCCCAATCTAGGATAATGTTGGTAAGTACAAAATACTAATTTTTGTATAGACAGGTTCTTTATGTCCACACTCAAACTTTGTTTGGTGAAACTGACATTAATAGATAGAAGAAGGGTTAAATTCTTCATTGTTCTAACCCAAGCAGTTGTAAGAAACAAGATTTTCCAAAAGGACAGGCGAAATCCTCTACATTATAAAAATTGGAAAACAATATAAATAAATATACTTACCATTGGCACCTCCTTTACCAATGATGTGGCGATGGTATTTCTGGTCGATTTCAATCTCGGCAAAGTCCATTCGTGTCAACTACAATTACAACAATCACATTTCAATAAATTGAAACATGTAGAAGTAAACACATATATAAAGTAATATGAAACATACCCTTAATAATGATTGAAAATTGCATTACATTATTGGACAAAAAGAGCCTCGGGTATTTTACTTATATAATAGTTTACGCTCATTAAATTAAGAAGGCGTATTGAAAACTGACATAATCTCAATCAAAAAGTGATGTTCAAACAGAGGTGACAGCAATGTATTTGTACAATAACTAGTAACAAAACATACATTCAACTTACAGGGCAAAGTACAAAGAGGGATACACATTATGTCAGATGCAATTTTCAATTTCATATCATAACTTTTATACTGCTTTATTTTCTTCATCAAATGAAAATAAACTGATTATTCAGAGTATAAAATGGGAAAAATGTGCGACATTATATAACCCTTTATTTTGCATTTTGACGAACTATCGTTTGCATTAGAGGAATGTGCATTCATATCAACTCTACCTCAGCCATGATTGCAAAAAGACCGGAAATGTAACCATTCTTATCTCACTAGGGCACAAATGAAACCACACTCTATTAGGAATCTTATCAGTACAGATCACATATGGTAACTTCACATTTAGAATTCATTTTATAACACGTGAACGACATTATTGGCCACCATAATATTAATTAAAAGTTAACAATTAAAAGTTTGCCAATGACCGACTTCATCAGATTACTAGAATATTTATATATACTTTTTCAAAAAGATTGATATTTATTTATTTATTTTTATATTAAAAAATTCCCAGATTTTTCTTTTGTAATTAGTGTGTATATCATCGCTTTTTAACTTCATTATGATTCAATTACCTTAAATGAACATATCAAAATTATATCGTATGGTGACATATCAACCAGCTATCAGCCAATCAAAATGGAGGATTTCAACAAGGCGTGTAATAATCATACATACTAGGTCTTTTGTAATCTCCTCCAATGCTTTCCTTGCCTCTTCAACCTGCTCAGGTGGACCCTCTACAATAATCTTGGCATCACCCTCAGTGAACTCAATATGCACCTAAAACATAAGTGGCATTGTGTATCAACTCAATGTCTGTGTGTATTGTGTCAAGGAAATAACTTATCTATGATATTTAGAAAGGTGAAACCATTTCAACAGTCATGGAGGATTTCAAGCTGGCTACCAATGTGTTGATAGCCAGACAGCAAGAAAAGTGGGAGATGATAAAATCACACATAGTTAGGCAAGGTGTGTCTGATTCCAGCCAATCCGAACACAGTATTTCACATGACAGCAGTGCATAAAATAATCAATTATGCACTCAAGGTCACTAGTAAACAGTTGCCATGGTGATAAATGGACTTTTCAGATTCGATTTGATGACTTGCCAACTTGACACTTGCAAAAAATTCCATTACAAATGTGTTCTTTTGGTGATTTTGTTCATATTAAATGATTTTGTTGAAAATATTTTGCAATTTGTGAAAATAATTTAAGCCTAAGACGCAATGCATTGTAGCTGCTTCATTCCGCTCAGGCGTTCTTTCCCAAACTTTGCATTCCCGCTGCGCGATCATGCAAAGATTTGGAAACAACACCTTCATGGTATGATTCAGCAAACAATGCACTGAGTCCAGGGCTTAAATCCTTAAACCATGTGAGCTAATAATAAAAAGGACCAATCTTGAATAACAACCATTTTTATTAATTGAAAATTTTCAAAGTGATTAATATAATATGCTCAATTTGCATATTATTGCTACAACAAATTAACTCATTAATTAACAAATTAACAATTCACACATGTTCTTCTCTCATTATTGATGATTAAGTCCATACCTTGGGAAGATCTGCAGTGATCTTGTTAACAGTGGCTCCCTTACGTCCAATGATGAATCTATGAAGCCAGGCAGGTGCATCAACCTCAGCAATAACGATGCTGTTGGCCTTAATTAAAATAGTTCTAGATCATCAACTGTGCAATATTATGACACATCTCAGATCAATAATGAAACAAAATACAATGTCGTTATTAAGTATACTGTATTATACTTAATTTTAATTCAGAGACGCTTTAAATACCAAGTGTAAAATTTTTTTATAAAAATTTAATCTGTGAAAGTGGAAAGATCGGTGGAAATATCTGACCCACCAATTTTTTTAAAGTGACTTGCAAACTTCCAAAAAATGATGCCAAACAGAAATACTAAGAATCTAGAATGTAAAAGGTAAAGCACAAGCAAAACTATTTAGCCAATCAGGAATATATTTGACATATATAGTATAATGTACCTTTGAATAGACCAGGGTGAGTGCTGGTCCCAGTTTGTCCTGCTCTCCCCTCAGTGTGATTGTATTGGAGTTGCTCTCTGGTGGAGGGACCTCCACACTCACTCCAGTAGCTGCAAGAATCTCAGAGAGATTGGTACCACGGGGTCCAATCACATACTTATGCTGTGATTTGCGCACCTCTACTGATACAGGCTGGCATAGGCGTTTCTACAAAACAGGACCATTAAACACATATATTTGATACTCAAAGGGGACAAGTGAAGCATGCCTCAGAAGGATTTTAGCCCTTCTGATCAGTATTAAATTACAGATGTTCTGTTAATTTCTACATACACCCTTAAATCATCAGTTTGAATTTCATTTCTCATAGACCAATGAACCCTTGGTTTAGTTCTAAAACTTCAAAATGGACTATTAGTTGAAAGAAATCATTCTTACAGTTTTTCAGAATCCAAAGGACAAACAACATTTGTAAGGGATACAGTATGAGCATACCTTTTCTTCATAGACTTTCATGATCTGCTGTTTGGCTGAGATGACACCATCCTTATCACCAGACACAACAATCTCATCCTTCTCCACGCTGGGTGGGGGCACATTGATACTGGCTCCAGTCTCTTCACGTAGCTGCTTCAAGATGCTGTTGTTGGGTCCAACAATGAAAGGATGGTATACCTTTGGGATTGGGAGCCTTTCAAAGGCAAGTTTTGACTGAAAAGACAACAGAAAACACCGGTCAAGAAATGTTTTCTTAATGCAACACAATGTGTCTACCAAGGTTAAAACTACATGTATATGGACTTGATTGTCACTATTTAAATAAATTACTTTTCACAGTCCTTATTTTTGAAAATCCAGTATGCAAGTATCTAAATAGCAGGGGTAAGAGTTGAATGTACTGTACTCACCCTCTCTTCAGATATCAGAAGGATCTCATGCTGGGCTTTATCAATGCCCTCCTTGGTTCCGATGATCTTCACAATGTCAGACTTTTCCTCTGGTCGGGGTATGGTGATCTTGGTCTGGGTTTCTAATTCAAGTTGTTGCAACTTCTTGCCATCTCTACCGAGCAAGAAACGATGGTGCTCTTTGGGTATTGCCACAGTCGTGTTAGCCTGGAAGATGAGCACATTGAATAATATACTTTACTCTAATATATTCTATGGTGGATACAGCTTTAGCTCAGTGAAATCCATCTACCTACCAATGGAGCACATCACATACATGGTATCAGTGATACATCCATATATCAACATATTATAGTCTTTTAATTCTATAAAAGGAGACATGAAGAGTGTTCAGAACATACGAATTCCATTGATCTTTAAAGCCAGCCAGTATCAGATCTGTCAAACAGAAACTTTTTCTTTACCATAACGAATAAATACGACCTTATCAAAATTACTAAATAAAGAGATGTCACTGGTTTCACACCCTATGAGAATTAACTACAGGAAGAACCCTACGCATTTTCTACTATTAAGTATGATTTGACATACCTGAGTTTGCAGTTTGTTGACAACTTCCCTGCGTGCTCTCATGACTGCATCCATCTTGCCAGTGATGACCACTGTCAAACTTAGATCCTTTGCTAGAGACATCTCAATGGACACACCTTCAAGAAACAGTTTTGAGGTAATTATCATGTAGTTTTGCGGTAATTTTCATACAGTTTTGAGGTAATTATCATACACCCTTGTATGTAGCTCATTCACTTTCACAAATAGGGGAAAATACATGGTATTAGAAGAAAGGTATACGATGTAAGATTTGGTTAGATATACGTACAGACTGAGGTAAATGTAACCACGATTGACCTGGCTGCAAAACTATATGAACCGTGAATATTCTGATAATATGCATGGATGAAAATTAACAAACAAGATTGTAAGCTTGACATTTCTAAGATTCAGCAGAATAAATTGCTTCTCAGGTTAATAAATGCAAGCTAATTAATCACACAGTTGTGTTTACAATCTCCCTTGGGATGAATTATAATAGCAAATAGGCATGCATCTCTACACTTTTGAGTTAACATCATGGGAAATAACCAACTCCAAGGAGTTTGAGGATCAAAATAGCTAATGAATCTCTATGTATGTACCTGTTTTCTGCATGATATCTTGGCATATTTTAGACTGCTGTTCTGCTTGCTCACCAAATCCTGTACTGTTCACCTTGTAGCGTCGTTCCTCCAGTGGTACCTTAAACACCTAATAACAGAAGCAATTTTTGTAGTTATACATGGGTATATTGAATCAACATTATAAATCACATTCAGTCTAGGCATTGCTTGCAGTTTTTATCACCTTCTTATATTCAATTAATATTCTGAAACTGTAAATTATATAAGTATTAATAAGCTAATCTAAGCTTGTATTATCTCAGGTACCTGGGTAACTTTGGATGACTTGAGGCTGGACATTTTGACTGGTACATTCCATGATCCCTTGCTCGGAGCTGCCTGTTCTACGGGTCTTGGCACTGGGGCCTCCATGGGTGGGAATGCCTCAGAGTAGGCCTCGACACCCACAGGCTCATAGGCCTCATCTTCAATATTATACTCTGCCGGGGTTAAATTCTCCATGTCTAAACTCATAGTCGGGTTTCAGTTCCGAGTCGTACAGTACTGGTATTTCCTGAAATAACAAATTCAATAAATATATTTAATTTTCTGAGACCAATTGTTGCACTTGTAATATAGGTCTTGCCTTACGTCTCTATTTCCACATGATGCCCATATTCAATCATTTTAATAGACTTATTTGTAAGACTATTATTTCACAGATTTAAGACAAGGTCGGGTAGCCCAGAAAGTAGTACACAGTATCATCTTGTAATTTATTTATCACATGTGTAACTGTTAAATATGTAGATTAAGTACCAGATTAATCAATACATATCTCGTGACTATGTTTATATTTCTAACACAATCATATACCGCATACAAATGCTATAACAAAAAACACAAGGCAATCTAATTATGGTATTCAGCAGGCATGGTAGCCCTGGTAAATCAGGTGGCATTATGATGCATAATACACTAATTTTTATAGACAAAGGAGTACGAACTAACAAGAATCTATATTCTAGACCCAGTAATTGAGTTGTAGGTTTAAGTCCCAAGCAGTCTGATAATTATAGATCATCGAACTGTAATTCATTCATAAGATTGTTTCAGCAACAGGAGTTGACTCATGAAAAAAAGTTGTTGGTCTCACAATTTCCAAGCATCGATTAAGAATTACAATACAAGCTAAAGTTGTTTAAGTCACACAGGAACTACATATACTTCAAAATCTTTAGTCATAATTTATCACAGATTGTGTCCTTTATGTTATGAAGTGTCAATGATTAAAGGTAACTAAGATTTTTTAAATCATGTCTTAACCTTAGAAGCCTACAGAGACATTGGTCCTTAAGTTAAACAAGGCATCAACATGCAAAATGTCACCACTTGCCATTTGTTTCAAATGCCAACCACCAACACCAACCACCTAATCAGACACGTAATGACCTCAAACACAAAATAAGATCTTGATCTAGAAATTAACACACATTTTGTTAAACGGTGACTCATAAACAGGTAAAGCAAAATGTCAAGGATAAACGATGAATACAAATGACAGTGGTACTTATAATGAAAGTATAAATTACAACAAGGCCAAAGGTATTACAACAAGGCCAAAGGTTCACATTCACAAAAACAATGGAATAAGCATTAAGCAAGGATTAATGAAATAACAATGAAAAGTCAGATAGAAATGTAAAATCACTATTAGTTCATGGTGATGTCTAAGAGAAATGATGTACAAAAAAGCATGACAAGAGAATTATTTATTTATAAATAAGGCAGCATACAATTCAATCCCTTCCTGTGCCTGGGTTTCACTTGTATTTGAGACTTTGTATATCAAGTTCAAAAGTGCAAAAGTTGAACAAAAACTTACAGTTAAGGATGGTGTCAAATTATCAAAAGAGAAACAAAGTTAGTTCTGTTAGGGGGAGGGAGTAAATGATGGAAAGGTTTCATAAGCAAAGTGTGTTTTTTTAACATCCAAGTGAAAGACAAATCAAATTAAAAAGTTTTGTTAGATGGGGGCCCGGGGATGAGGGGAGGAAGGGGTCAATTGGTCAAACCATAACGAAATAAACTTCATTTTTTGCACAATTGTTGATAATTTGACACTATCCATTACATATAAAAGGCATCATATACTAAAATTGAAGACTTAGGCCTTTAAAACAGAGTCGCTACATATGAGAATTATGAAAGGGAGACACATGTGTGAGATGTCATTGACAAAAGCTGCAAGTGATGTAAACATTTGACTCTTCAACATTACAAACATTAAGTTACAGACATAACCTCTGATGATGCTTTTGTTTATAAATCAGACCACACTGAAATAAGGGCAGTTACCACAATATGTAAATTCAATAGAACATCATAGTCAAATGGGTTGATACAGATCAACAACTGTAACATGTTAAATCACAGATTGAGAAATGTAACATACATAATCACAGATAGACAAATGTGAGTCTGACACATGTCACACAATCACAGTATTCTCATACGTGACGCATATACTCAAAGATTAATTCATGGCATGAACCAAATTTACAGAATTTTGGTATGCGATTCATATTCAGAATTGTGACTGTAGTTTTAGTAACTTGACCCAATAAAATTCTGACACATTGATTTACTAATATTAGTATAGTCTAGCAATAAAAATATTCAGATCTCTCACAGGCCAAAGATTAATATTCCATATGGGATATCAAGTTAGTAAGAGGAGGTTTATAATCATATGATTTCCATGAGCTAAATTGATATATCTGCTGGGGTCAACCCAGTTGTCCGAAACCCAGTTCTCCGAAACCCAGTTGTCCGAAACCCAGTTGTCCGAAACCCAGTTGTCCGAAACCCAGTTGTCCGAAACCCGGTTGTCCGAAACCCAGTTGTCCGAAACCCAGTTCTCCGAAACCCAGTTCTCCGAAAATTAAAAAACTAAATGTCTTAGTAACGAATCTTGTCGCAACTTCGCGAATCAGGACAGCATTGGTATCACATTGACATCGGTTAGCCCGGTCAATAATGGGTCCGAAAGTTCACGATCATATATATATATTCTTACTAGATTCTCGGCACATAGACTTATATGGACATTCTACAAATTTTGAACCGCATTGTCCAGCACGAATCGCACTCCTTCTTGGTGAAAATTCAAGACTGCCGCCAACATTTTAGACAATTATCACAGTCGAAGAGAATATTCTGGCGAAAGGAATATCTATCTCATTAGAATAACGTATGGACGTCCGTGACAATTATATATATTCATTTGATAATTTTTTTCATTCCCTTTTCTCAATAAAATATGGTTAATTATGTTTTCCAATATCAATTGATAATATTTCTACCCTGAAAAATATCTAAAAAGAAGATTTTGGTTGTTCAGTACCACCCATTGATTTCGTCCAAATTTTCGATAAATTAATAAAATATGCTCATTTCGTATAACTTATATATGTGGCATATATACATATCAGATGTCTATCCTTTTTTCATCATAATATAAGAGGTTTGTATGTTTTAGTAGAAACGTATTCCTTTCCAAACATTTAGATTTAAGAATTTCTCCCATTGGTGATATTGTTCAAAATCAAAACTGTGTTTTGCGATATATTGAACTGTTGAAGTAAGTGTGTAATAGTTTGTAGTAGAGCCAAGATTTGATCTGTATCATGTACGTACCCTGCATAAAAAAATTCGTTTTTAGTGTGCCATAGATGTCAACCATTAACTATTGCAGAATCAAAAAAAGTTTTGTGAAAAATTAGGATAATGTTTCAAAAGTTATACACCGGACAATAAATAACTATACTCAATGCAGACAGGGAGTTTTAATTGCCCAAAAACTGAGTATCATAATGCATTTGTATCTCTTTAGTATCTTGCATGACTCGTTCATATGAATTCTTTATTTCTACCTCGTTCCTTATACATTCTGAGACAGTTCAACCTTTGCCCCACGTCCTGTTCGTCGTTAGTATGTTGTGACTCGATATAATAGTATAGTTTCCATATAGTTTTTGAAATCTCGCTAAATCTCGTTTTTCGTGAGATTTTAAGAGACTTGCATATTAGACCTCTAATGACTTACATTACCTTCTTTTAAATGGCATATTTGATTTCAGTGAAATGTTTTCTCCTTTAATAGCTTTGATTTACACAGTTATGTAATTTGAATAATTTTCTATGACAATTTAAAAAAACTTGGGCCAAATGTCCATAGATGCAATGCTAAAATTCTTTAAATCCGTGGATTATTTGTATGTCAATCAACATTTGCATGTTTAATCACATCATGTACATAAACAGGGTCATCATGTGGTATATCATTCAAGTTTTATACAGATTCAACAAACACATTTTGATAAATCATGAAATTAAGCCATTTTCCAAGATTTTAACATGTAAATGAATGGAGCTCTAGCCCAAGTTAAAAGCTGAATAAAAGATGGCAGCACGAGATTTCATTGATTTTTCTGCTATTTAGAAACTATCCTATTGCCACGCGGTCCTAACTTCGACCGTTAATTTGAATTTTTGACCTACCGGATATTTGAAAATCAATTACGAGTCTCATACTGCACCGTTTCTCTTCAAACTTGTTCCATTCAAAGCATGACAAAAATCTCTTTCTGATGGTACGTTATTATCTTAAACAGAGTTCCTACTTCCAGCGTAATTTTGGTCCCCAGCTGTAAGAAGGCCTTCTAACAGCTGGGGAGTGGGGACCAAAACGCTGCTAGAACGAGGGACTCTTTACAATAAAGTAATGCACTGACAGAAGTGCAATTTTGTTTTGCTTTTAATGGTATAATGGAAGAAAAACGGTGCAGTATGAGACTCGCAATCCTTGATTTTCAAGCATCTGGTAGGTCAAAAATTCCAATTAACGGTCGAAGACCGCGTGATTGCAGAAAGTCAGAGACAGCACTCCTTTTTTTCTTTTTAAATCATGTATATATTTCTTATTTTATAACTTTGTATACATCAGGTCATTTTACAATATTGCAATATTTTTTTTAAATAGATACAATTGCAATTATTTAAAACATTATTACAATAGTTTACAAATATAATGTAACATAAGTTGTTTAACCATTCATCAAAATAAGTATACTTAGTGTCTTGTACCTTATAGCCAAAGACAAGAGTTTTATACTTTTTCAAGCTTAATTCAATTTTAAAATCATCTAAAATATAATTTTCAAGTGGGTCTATTACATTAGTAGGCCTACTCTATGATATTGAAAGAACAAATGTTTATAGTATTCTCAGGCCCGTAGCCAGGGGGGGGGGGGTTGGCAGGGTTCGGGTGAACCCCCCCCCCTGGCCAAAAATTCTTTCAAAATCATGCAGTTTTTCACCATTTTTAGCACTTTTCAAGTGATTTTGATCATATTTGGGCCTAAATTGTCAAATGTGAACCCCCCTGCGAATTTTTGAAAACTGAACCCCCCCTCCTTGGAAAATCCTGGCTACGGGCCTGATTCTACTTGTCTGAAAATATCACACTTGTCATTAACAATTAGTTTCCATCATGATCTTAGGAGTCACTGG